TATAAGATATAGGTAAGAAGTATATATTTAAGTATAGGGATATAATTATATTTAAATTAACTACTAGAAAATCTTAAAAGATAAACTAGATATATGGAGTAAATTGTAGTTTATATAGATATTTTCTTTCTAAGCTCTCCTAAGATCACTTTAGCTTACTATAATCCTATATAATCTAGATTACTCCTAGATTATTGTAAGTATAGGTGATCTAGTATTCCTGTGATCTAGTGTACTTCCATAGTTTATCCTTTTCTACTAGTCTTGACTGCCCAGCCTTCTGTCTTGGCCATATGTAGCTATAACACAGGCTGTCCTGAATATTGTATCCGACTTCGCCGTCATGTCCGTGCCCATTCGGACAATCCACAATCTCCGCTTAAAAACGAAGTAAAAGATCTCAGTTAGAGTCATCTTAGCTATAAGATCTGGGTACATTCTCCTAGAATTTGACTCTGATAGCCTTCGTTTTCTCTGACCATCTAACAGCATCGTCATATACTCTATAGCTCGTTTACTAGACGTCATTGAATTGGGCCACTCATCGGACGCGACTTATACAGAAGCGGTTCTCGGAATATGGACAGTTGTAGAAGTCAATCTCGGCATTATCTGCGAGTCTGCTATGCGCCTGAAGCCACTGATTAAGATGTACTTGCCTCAGCTAGGATTGTTCTCGTCTCGCACACAGACAAGCGAGCCGTATAACTAGGCTGGATGCTGGCATGGGGAAATCACAACACGAGTATCAGCCGCACAGCATTCAGAACGGGAGTGTCAACATTGATTCGGGCAATAAAGGTGGTAACCGCTTCGATCCTTACGCGGCCCGTGATGGTGGGAGCACAGACAAGATTCCAGCTCCAGCATGAAACTACTTTAGAGTATGAGTGAGGATGAATGGTACGTATCGTTGAAGATCGACTGGTATATGATAGTGCCGCAATGTCCGACTTCCTATCAAGATCATTTATAGATGAGTAATATTGTACGTATTTTCCTGATGATAACGCAATTGCTATTCAAAGTCGGAATTGAACAAGAGTCATCGACCCCGCTGAAATCGCATTTAGAAAAAAAAATTAAAAAGAAAAAAAATTATAAAAAAAAAAAAAAAAATGCCTGTGTTTCGCGTTCTTGCTGAAACAGCCAGCCAACATTGTATCCGAGACATGAGGGTGGTTCCCCGAGACAAGTTCATGGGGAACGGTACAGCCTCAATGCCCATATTATCACGCAGTAAGAATGGTAAATGCTTTTTCCGCCAGAGGTTGAATTATCTCGACCAAAAATGCAGCTTCGGTAGACGTCGATATGTGCGTGTGTTTTGGTGTTTGTTGTGGGAACCTAGCTAAAGGTTATTCATAGCCAAAGTCCAGTGACGGAACTTCAACGAGGTACATCGGTCGTATGGTCTAGTGGTTAGGACTCCGGATTTTGACTAGTCTTTCGACTAATAGTTTCCGGCAGCCCCGGTTCGAACCCGGGTACGACCTCTTCGATGCTCAATGCTTTCTTTCTCTACTATTGTTGTTCTCCTCTTGATTCATTTTTATTTTATTTTATTTTTTTCCCTCTTCCTTCCCGACTCTCCTTTTTTTGCTTTAGTATTCTCGAGCATTTATGTAAGAACCGACTTACAACCTAACTAGGGCTAGGTGTTGTAAATTGTAAAAGAAGGAACTTTTAGAGGGTGAAGTATTAATTCCTTTTCGTCCCTTCCGATGCAATCTGCCACTGTCGCGATTGATTACTCAGCTATTCCTGGAAAAATCACCACAAAAAAATATTTGGCCGATGCCTCTGAAGTTGTTGAAGGTCGGCACCATCCGATTAAACTCGAAGAGTGCGCCTCTCTCTGTGGAAATGGCGCCTTGCACATGCGACAACATACAAGAAGGGCACAGCTCCACAATGTTAACAGAAGCAGAAACTCCGACCACTCGCGACTTGTTGACGGTCATCGTCACCACCTCGGTCACACCCTCTGTACCTTCGACAGAACTGCTATCCTCAGTCCTCAAGTCCTTCAGCCGCCATTGCCCCTGCTTGCTAGATTGCCGAGTGATCGTCACGTTCGACGGTTACGAGCAAATTACCCCTGTAGCCCGCCTGAAAAAGGGACGTGTTACTCCGGATCAAGCGAAGGCCTATAGCCTCTACAAGGATAGCGTAAAGAATCTCATACTTGAGAGTTATTATGACTTGTATCCGAGTGAAGACAAAGTTCCCTTCGCCCAGACTAACGCAGAGGCCGAGTATGGGAGCCCAATGGATCCTAAAAACGTGGTGCACTACACAATCTCGCAGACACCCAGCAAGAAGGTGACATTCATAGAGCCATCGAGGCGACTGGGCTTCGGCCTTTCTGTCCGTTCGGCTCTAAGAGTGGCCGAGACTCCCTATGTCTGGATCCAGCAGCACGACTGGGCTCTAGTCTCTGATTTTCCACTGAAGCCACTGCTGAGTGTGATGAGAGAATCTGAGTCTGGGGGGGAACCCGAGGCCCCCATTAAGTACGTTTGCCTACCGGCGGTCCGTATGCTGTCATACGAAAGCTCTCTAGGCGGGGCCACTCCGCCGGTGCTAAGGAACCTAACTTCATCCTTGGGAAGAACGTTCAGTCCGGCATCGCAACCGGATATCAAGATTCCTTTGACGCCCGTCTTTTTCTGGCACGACAAACCACACATCTGCTCTACTACACATTATCTGAAGCTCGTATTCCCTTCGCGGTTAGCGGTTCTGCGAGGAGACTTCATTGAAGACAAGATCGGTCAGCGCGCTAGAGCACAGATGAAGGAAGGTCATGTACGTATCGCCCGATATCTCTGGTTACGATCCCAAATCAATCAAGCATGAGGCATGAGGCCCTCTTTGGGTACGCCGAGACGACTAACAGAAAAAAAAAAATAGTGGGCAAAGTGGGCAACGTGGCTCTATTACCCCGATGAAGGGAAGCAGTTGTGCTTAAAACACCTCCGAGGAAGAACCTGGAGGGGCGCTAAATCCGAGGTCGAAGAGGCTGCGAAATGGAGACAATATAACTGGGAGATGCAAAATGCCCTGCAGGACGATTCTCGAGACTCAACTGAAGATAGTGGCGCGGATACGATGACAGACTCATAGTTCACAACTACATCACCTGTTGCGGGTGCACAACTTCGACTGTCCATTTTCCTTCAACTCCGGGAATACCATAACAATCTCTAAAACGCTCAGGCTCCTCAAAAATCTGTACCGGATCCGCCCCGGAGACTTCATGGCTGTGGTAACCAGACCCATCGTCGAGTGCCAACCTACGGTGGCCTTCACGTTCGATCTCCTTTTGAGATGCCAGGAGGCGGCATGGTAGGGGCCGAGTCGAACACGAAAACAGAACGTTGCCAGGACGGGGCCGTCTCATTTTTCACCGACGAGCAACAGGTCGCTGAGGAGGCGGCAGACGCGTCCATGGACTTGTAGCATTCTGGCTCGTCATTCTCAGAAAGTCCGGTCTGCCATGTCATGCTTTCTAATGGGTCTTCACACCGTCGAGGGGTTACATGGCGAAGAATTCCACATTGAAGAATGCGCGATATCCACAACATAAAATCTAACTTTCTGGAATGACGAAATATGGAGCAGTGGGGCTCATGTAAGGGTTATCGAGGAAAGCTAACCTAGAAAGGCAGTTAAGATTCAATGTTGAGATATCAATCCCGTCAACCGCTTTCTTGTTATGTCGCATTACTAGGGCCAAAAGTTCCGCTCTTTTTGTAAGGTATAGAGGTTGGTCTTCAATGCTACACTTACGCACGGATGGCTGACAAAAGAGCCGCCCGTACAGTTGCAATATGCGGGCAGTGTCCGCAGCTTGAAGATCACTCCCGTAGGCTAGGGTTGTGTTCTACGGCAAATGTCTATCCACCTTCTCGTTTCGGAATTCCCCCCCCCCCCCCCACGAAGAAGGCCAAGGATTCGCAACAGCGAATGTCAGAGCCCTGAAAGATTTCGAAGTGGAACATCGAATTGATAGCACGCGCTTGCCCACTGCAACCCATCACAGTGAGAGGCTGGTAACATGTTACCTTCCCAGATTGATGTGGAATTCCGAGATCATCGCTTTGTTCCTCGTGATCACTTTGGCTTTGATCTCTGTTCTGCGATGCATACCCCGAACTTCGCACTCGAGGTCTAGCGGGGTGGTCCTCAGTCTAGACATAAATACGGAAGAAACGGAATCATCTTGCGCTTTTTGTTCCTCTCGTCCTTATCCTCACTGCAACTGCTTTGTTGGACGCTCATTGCGGTTTCTCTGCAATTCTGACCTCTCTTTCCCGCCATATCTGCCCGTCTGATTTCCAGAAAACCAAGTTGACAACATGAAGGCCAACTATCTCGCAGTCGTTGCCGCCTCACTGGCCGGCAGCGGCGTCAATGCCGAACCCATGTCTGTTCTGAGGCAGTTGAAGCTTAATACATGGGCTGAGCTGTCCGAGACCGGTGCTTTCGACCTTCATCGTTATGAAGCTCTCACAGCCTCGATTTCCTGCCAGAACGGTCGAGCGGGTGAATATCGTTGCAACAACGTTGACCTCGTATCTTTCCTCCGTCACCAGGATCTGGGTTCGTCCACACGGCAAGGAAATGATGTTTGTAAGTGATCCAACGGCGACAGCTTCTTCCTCAATGTATTATCAACATAGTGGCTGCTAGAGAAGTATTAATCAACGTTGTACTGAACAGGGGGCTGGACCTCGGACACCGGAAGAGAATTCGGTGTCGTTGGCCAGACTGACGGAACTGCGTTTGTGGAAATTCTGTCGGATGGCTCACTGATTTACCTCGGCCGACTTCCGACCCAGACAACTTCATCGTCTTGGAGGGACATGAAGGTTATCGGAAACCACGCGTACATTGGCTCCGAGGCTGCCCGTCACGGATTGCAAGTGTTCGACCTGACGAAATTGCTAAACATCGACCCATCGTCCCCGAAGGTGTTCAGTACCTCCTCTGACCTTACGGCTCACTTCGCTGGTTTTGGAAACTCCCATAACATCGTTGCGCACGAAGATACGAACATGATTTACGTAGTGGGTACCGGCAGTGATGCCGGGTGCCGAGGCGGACTCTTCATGGTTAATGTCAGCAACCCAGCCAACCCTACCTCTCCTGGCTGCCTCTCTGCTGGCGGATACGTGCACGACGCGCAATGCGTCATATATTCTGGCCCCGACACTCGCTACACCGGACGCGAAATTTGCTTCAACTTTAACGAGGATACTCTCGATATTACTGATGTCACCTCTAAGGGTAAACCGACAACCATCAGCAGTACAGGTTATACCGGTGCAAGCTACACTCATCAAGGCTGGATCGCCGACCCCGAGCAGCGGTTCCTCCTGCTGGACGACGAGCTAGATGAGCAGCGCCGCCGTGGCCCCGCCGCGAACCAACATACCACTACCTACATTGTCGACATCTCCAATCTAAAGAGTCCCCGCTTCACTGGTACTTACCAGAGCCCCGCCATCTCCATTGACCATAACCAGTATGTTGTTGATGGCCTGTCATATCAAGCAAACTACGGTTCTGGACTTCGGATTATCGATATCACATCTCTAGGTTCGGATCCGACAGGTCGAGGCATTCATGAAGTTGGGTTCTTCGATGTCCATCCCGAGGATGATGATGTTAATGGCAGAGCTGAGTTTGTCGGCACCTGGAGCGTCTATCCATTCTTTAAGTCTGGGCACATCCTTCTCAACAGTATCGAGCGTGGTGCTTATGTCTTGAAGTACACCGGTTAGGAGAGAACAATTGGACTTTTATGGAGTCTTGAGTTTGGTATATTAGTTACCAAATAGCAATAGCTTAAGTCTAGGTGCTTCAGTATCCAATATCAACCCCGATATGTTAGAACTGTCGTGCCTTCTCTTCTCGTGTAATAAACTACCAATGTAAATGATTAAGAGGAGTTAAAAAAAATCAATTAAATTCTGATATCGTAGCTGGCGCAAGGACCCTCCGTGACATACACAACCTAACCTAAGTTCACCCCTGACGTTCCGTTTCCGCATATCTTCCGATTGAGCCTACACTGCCTGGCGCGAAATCAATCGTACGTTCAAGTAAGGCCGAGATTGGCTCAACGATCTCGCCTCTCGCCGTCCCTCCCCCCTTTCGTTTGTCATTGCTATGACCTCGGCGCGAGGTGCTTATTGAACCATTCAATACACTGGTCCTCTGCCTCAGCGGCCTGCTGGACTGGCTCCGAATCTTTTAATGTCGCGTCCGCGCGTACGCAAAACCCATGTCCACAATTATCGTATACGCGGATTTCTCTCGCTCCTCTCTCGGACTCTTTCTCAAACATAGCTTTGATTTCAGCCGCCATTTTGGGAGGGATCTGGTTGTCCTTATCTCCGACGGCAATTGAGAGAGGTAGCTTAAGCTTCTCGATATCACCAGGAAAGTCCACAAAACTAGGGTGGCCCACGAAGCCAGCGTCGATGAGGGCTTGGTCGCCAGCCTTCCGGGCGAGAAGAAACGTATGCTTGCCGCCCCAGCAGAAACCGGCAGCGCCAACAGGCAGGTTGGCACCTTCGGCCTTGCGCAGCTCAGAAAAGAAGTTCTCCACGACAGGAAAGGAGCGACCGATTCGATTTCGTGCGATAAAAGGAATGAAGCCATACAAGGCCCAGAATACATGGACACTTTGATTTGTCATTTTCTTTTTGTCAGTAAGCTCTTCGTGGAAAAACCTCCCGAGTCCCGTCGCATAGGGGGCGGCTGGGCCGCTGGCTTGTTCCTTACGGCTTTGAGAGGAGACTTCCGTGGAAGAAATTATGCATGGTGTCGAGTAGCCATAATGGCGCTGAGTGACCTATATCTCGGATTAGCAGATGTAGGCTTCAATGCGCTCGAGGAGCCGCGGTGGCTTTGCTGACCTAGCATGAAGTCCGGGAGATAGACTTTATAGTTTCCCTTATCTGCGTAGTGATCTGCTAGGATGCGATTGTTCACAAATTCCCAACCAAACGCGTCGGGTACGATAACAATGATTCCACGGACTGGACCGTTGTTCGTCGGCTCGGTCACGTACGCGTCAAGGTTGTGGAGCTTTATCGTCTTCCCCCTGGGCTGCCCCTCATGGACATGACCGCTGAAGCAATCCGGACAGGACATGGTAAAGAGCGACGCGTGTTGATGATCTGGATTATGTTAATTGATACTTGGGGGCTTAGGAGTAATTGACGAGAAGGTCAGACTCTGGACAGTGTTGTCTGACGCTGATGGAGCAATCTATCAAATAACGTCTGATTTCAATCCTCCTGTCATGGGTGGCGTGCCGCACTTCCGAGCCAATTCGCTGATCTTTTTCGTTTTGGATTTCGGAGTTAAGCCCCTAGTAATTCCCTACATCCGGGCGTTGGCGCAATTCAAAGCGGAATTCGGAGTAGAATCGAGTCTCGAAAAATCGTTGAAGACATTTATCACTAGTGGAGCAGGTACTGCCTGTGCACCGGAGGAGTAAAAATGAACTTCAACAGCATGGACGAGATGTGTCTTTGGCGTGGGAAACTAGGCGATGCGATTTCAGCTACTCCCGCCCTATTGTATGTAGCCTGCTGCGACAAACCGCCGGTGATTCCCTCGGGTCAGGCCAAGCTTGACCCTATTGCCTGGGTAGATAGAATCTTGGCAGGCGCACGTTCTAAACTCTCTCCCGACCCGCATCCATCACTACGAATCTGATGCAATTAAGCCCAATAGATTTAGCATCGCATTTATCACTCTTGCCTTTGAGTGTTTTTTACAAAGAGGGGACGGCCAAAGAGTCAGAGACTAACCATTCCCAAGGCAGGCGGAAGACGAAACAACTTTCAGCTTCCATGGCTGGGAGATCTTCCCTGCCAGGCATCTTCTGTTTATTCACATTGTGACCCGATTCCGAAGGCATCTTCCATGGTAGTCGCGAATATAAGTTCAATTTCGTCTGCGGTTTGAGAATCTTAAGCTCTTCTATAATAATAACATCATGTGTCCTCCCCTCCCGTACGATGTTTTATTCAATTGTAGTCTGCCGCATCTGGCCGTTTCTCTAACGTGACCTCAATGCAAGATCCACTAGTTCTTCAGCCGTCATCAATGCTTTAGATCTCAAAACAGATCTCTCGATTTCGTCATGCACATGTCTCTTCAACTTCGTATACCTACGGGTAAGGCTCCCTCGGCATTCCTACAAGCCCTCGTTGATGGCCGTCTCGGGTATAGTCCGTGTTGAGCCTACTAGGTTCAGCTGCGTTTAAGTAATATGATCGCGCAGCCCGGCAAGGATTTGAAGACATTCCTGCGTGCTTAATCGTTATTCGGTAAAAAGTTGGAATTAGCGGTATATGATCCGGGCTCAGACACCCTCTCCGTAGAAGCGCCTTTGTATTCTCGTCCGTGTTTTGAAGGTCAACCGAGGCAGTATTAACCTGTTCTCTGTTATATTACAGTCAAGTTAGGTAGTCTGTGAAGTTTTTAAGTTTATTGATATGCCCAATTCTCTTTAGAGTCTGTCTGGCTGACGGCATCATTCATCCCAACTAATTTGCCTGCCCTCTGCCGTGATAAGTCTGTCTCGGGTTGTTTTTGTACGGGACGGTAATATTAAACAACAAACCTTTTCAACAATATTGAGCCCTAGATTCCTCTGCTAGCCATGGCACACTCGAAGCGATTTGGACCCTGAACCTCTTCGAACCTCGCATCAGCTTCTTATACTCCTCGATCTTAGAAACCCCGACGACCATGAGTTCTTCTACTGTCTCTGGGTCAATACCCTCCTTCCAGAGACTCAGAACTCCATTTATTTGATTACCATCGATCTCCACCGACATCACAAGATTCGACTCGTCCCTAAGCTCCCATGAGGCCTTCCCAAACGGAACCATGCCTGTCGGTTTCCAATGCAAACACCCGAGTCCGCCAGTGGACTCATAATCCCCATCAATTGCCTTGATAGTGACTTCACGGTCGCGTTGTGGGAATACAATTTCGACCTTGGATGACTGAAAGCCGATTGTAGCCACTTCCCTGCCTCCATCGACAGGTGATGTGACATTGCACTTATATGCAAAGGATCCGAGTACGGCATGTTGTTTTATTTCGTAGCGTGGTATCTTATCGCCCATTACACCCATGATCCGCCGGCGGGCCAGAAGCACGGTGTAGTGCATTTGTAAAGTGGGTTGCTCGTCGCTGCGTCGTGGATCTGGGGTTGCGTCCCTACGGACGATATGTTTTTCGAGCCAGGCGGGGGCCATGATGGAGGGGAATGGTTGGAAATCAATGAACCAAAATTTTCTTAAGAGGTTGAGAAGGTATTGAGTAGCTCAAGGCCTGTCAATTAAGAGAGGGAATGGGGAAGGAATTGGATGCTCTCGCACTCGTCTTTTAAATAGACTGAACATACTGAAAAGGGGGCTGGGTGTTCACCATTTTTCCACTTTGCCTCCCTGGCAGTGGGTGCTACATAAATGTAACCCTGCAAAAGATTTGATGCCAGCCATTTTGGGCACTTCCAGTGGGTCTTCCTCAATTGGTCAACAAATACGAGGGCCCCAATTTCGTCCCGTTCGTTGTCACCGAATCGCATCACCATTACCTTGCATTTTCTCGCCTATTTCTATCATATTTGACCAGCATAAATCTCTGACCCTGTCTGGCTTAGGCTATTGAACAAACCCTTGTAGGCCTTAGACGTGGGCACGAGACATCGGAAATATCGTACTGGCCATGTGGCAGGAAATTGAACTGTTAGATGGTTGATAGGTAGTTGACCAGATTTCTCGAAAAGGAGTGAATCGCCATGGTTTTACTCTAGTCTGGCGCCAACAGTGCCGAGTAATTGTTCCTCTGGTTCCAATAGAAATGCCGATTTCGGTAGCAATGGGTGGCTTCCTTTGTCCCTGTTCACGCCGCTCTCGTTTCAGCTGGCTTGGTGTTAATTCATAGGGGTGACATACACTCCGGCCCTCAGACGGATTGTTTATAGGCTGGGGCTTCGAGGTTGTCGGGAAGAGAAGCACTTGGCACCATTCCAGAAGAGAGAGAAGGGGGGAGGGAGAAATAGTGAAGAAAAAACCGCACAAGGTTGAAAGCATCATCCTTCATCTCCGTGCCCATTCAAAGTTGATCGATCCCAGCAATGTACTTTGGCGGAGACTCGGGCGATGTTGAGGTACGTGATTTCTGCTCGTCTGAACGCTTTCACAATCCTTCTAAAGGAGGGTGATAGGCAGTTTCATGGCAGTACTTCTACGCTTCAGGACTCTTAAATATCCAGTTGCAAGTCTGTTAGGCATACCGCATCGATCGTCGAGACAATGGACCGGTAGCAAGTTCGCCGACATTCCAGCCTCTAGAACCATCTCGCAACAGCCCCAGCCCCAATACATCCTACAGATCTAGCCTATAGAAGGAAGAAATACCCGCACGTCTACTACTATCCCCTTCGACCGCTCCTACCTTAGACGAGTATCCGTCCAAGCAGTATCCATACCATAATCAAAACGCGAGTGGAGTCGCACGAATCCTGAGTATACCCGTACCATTACCGACCGGAATAAGCACATTCAGGGCGTCATCTATCACCTATATGTCGCTCCTCATCCATCAACCCCGACGGAGCCAGGCCGCTCGACGGGTTTTCGCCGTGCCTAGGAGATTTGCCGGTAATCAAGGACTCCGACTTTGGGAGCACTCAAGCCCTTAGCATGCGTGTTTCTGGTATCAGCGATTAGTGCGATCCAAGTTTGGTTCGTGGAGAGGGCCGTCCGAAGCCGCCGTTATTTTCAAACGTGTTGGCCTGGGTGATTACTTTCAAGTTTCAACGGCTGAGATGGTCGCAACTGCTTAATATTCATTGATATACTCTAATAGAGTAGATGAGTATATAGGAAGCAAAAATTGAAATTACCGTCATAGTAATGTTCCTGCGAAGTTGTAGTGTTCTTGTTCAGAGAAGGCTCGGTTGGGCCGCAGCGCTCCTAAGCTTGGACGTTGCAAAGATATCCTTCGGCATACTCGAACCTGGCGACAACTAACAAAGTCATGGATTAGACGCCGACTATGCATGTTGCCCTAAGGACCGACTCAGACCGTCGCAGACTGAGCCATTTGCTGAACGACATCCATTGGAGGCGAGCTCCCGTTCCTTTGTTCGAGGATGAATTCTTCTTTGAGATGGGGCTATATTGGTAGTTACCCGAACCGACGCATGGAAAACCCCGTGGGCATTCTCCTTGAGATCATCGGCATGGTCCTGCATGATTCCTCGCTTTGCCCCGTTACGTATGCATCTTCCATGGCCCAGAGGCCGACCGCCGGACTTGTAGTAATCGATGATGGCTTCGAGATTTTGTTGGTCCTCTGGAAACTGCAATCCAGAAGCCGTAACATCTCTTCTTTTAACCTGCTGATCCTGTTGCTGAGCGGTGCATCCTGCTGTGAAGACATTTGGGCGAAGGACAGAGAAAAGACATCACAGAGTATGAGGCGCGAATGATGATTGTTGACGGTGATGAAATATTAGAATCGGCCTTAACCTAAGCTGGAGGACATGACCTTACCAGGCCACTAGGGTTTTGAACGGGATTTATTGGAGGATGGGGAAGTGACTCGGACGGCTTCTGCTCCTGGGCGAGGGTTGCCAGTTAGGGCATATCTCTGTTCTGGAAAAAGCTGCGAGAAGACCAATTAATCTAAAAACAGGCAATCTCTGGCCGATAGAGCGTAAAATAAAACAGGCATGAAGGCGTTTATTTTTGATCCGTCACGGCGAAATAGCTCTTCTGTGAGCGTTTAATTCCTTGGCCCATTCCGCCGGATCCCTGTCAAGTGAGGTACAACTTCCGTCGGCTCAAACTCGAACAGCTGCATCGGAGAAAATAACCTCGGAGCTCATGGACCGAGGACCCACGCGATGCCACCGTCAACTTTGCGCACCTCTCCCGATGGTGTGTGGGGTCCGACATCTTAGGAGACAGGGATACGCTGCTAATATGGGAGGAAGTCCTGGGATGTGCAGTCATGGATGAACTCGGTTTCTACTGCTGCGATGGGCTTCGATACGCCGTCATGGGATCCCTCGATATCTATCGATGAGAAGGCGGCCGGATCGACACAAGAGACCCCCCGCGACCTCCGGCGACCATACGACCTTCGAAATCTCCCAAGGGCTTGACTGGGCGGAAGACTATTATTGCCTCAGAATCCGGTGACTTAGAGCTCTCTTGCATCTTGACTTTCGGCCCTGCTAACTTGCAATAGACCTGCTAACCCATCGGAGTAGGACACAGCGCTGGAGCTAGATGGGCGGGCATAGATCATGTGAGGCCATCCCCGAACCTCGACCGGACCCTGAGGTGGGGAGACCTGCCGAGAGGAGCACGGTGCTGCGGGGTAAAGAACTTAAGATAGCCGCGGCTAAATCTACAGTTCCTCGACCTTTGGTAGGTAGACCTATTTGATTCTACCTGTTGAGCTAACCCGTCACGATCGGATGGTCATCATCATCATCGAAGACGATGAGTAAGCTCCAAGGTATATATGGTCACGATTTTGCCAGAATCAGGCGATTGCTCGATTACAGTTGCAATGCACGGAGAGTTTCACCCTGCCTGCTTCATTCCCAATTTCCCATCTAGTTAACTTGGTGATCGATCTCGATTCGCGCGAATCACAACTCACTGGACACAGGGCACACCCCACAACACGGTTGCTGGGTTTTAATAATTTCATCTCGAGTCGACTCTTAAGCAGCTATATCAATGGAACCAAATAAGAGTCGCAAATTCACGACGGTGGCAGGCGAGTTGACATATACTGAAGCCCCGCGTTGGCACGATGGACGGCTTTGGTTCGCAGACTTCTACACTTACCAAGTATACTCTGTTGCTGAGGACGGGAGCGATCGACGCGTTGAACTCGAGGTGCCCCAGCAACCCTCTGGCATTGGTTGGTTGCCCGACGGGCGCCTTTTAGTGGTTTCCAGTACGTGAAGTGAATCCGGAAACACGTCCTACACTGCCTAGAGTGCTGACGTCGAGCGCTGAAGTGAAAAACGGCCGAGTGCTTCGTCGCGAGCTAGACGGTCGTGTAGTTACACACGCCGACGCTAGTTCCTACATTGGCGGTTACCTGAACGACATGGTTGTCGATGCCAAGGGCCGTGCCTACATCGGAAACTTCGGCTTCGACCTGATGGGAGGCAAGCCCATCGAGACAGCATCGCTGATCCGTGTCGACCCGGATGGCACTGTCTCCGTTGTTGCCGAGGATCTTTGGTTCCCGAACGGTATCGTCATCACTAGTACCGGGATCTTGCTTGTCAACGAGACATTCGGCAACCGGATCACGGCCTTTGACATTTCGGATGACGGGTCGCTCACCAACCGAAGAGCATGGGCATCCTTTGGCGAACTTCCGGACCGGGATATCCAGAAGGCCGTGGGGGAGCTCTCTGTCATGCCGGACGGTTGCTCGTTGGATGCTGAAGGTGCCCTTTGGGTCGCGGATGCCGGGGGGCAACGTCTAGTAAGGGTTAAAGAAGGCGGTGAGATTGTTGACCAGATCGACCCTGGTTCGGGCGTGTTTGCGTGTGCGTTGGGGGGACAAGACGGCCGAACGCTCTTCGCCTGCATTGCCCCCGACTTTCATGAAGAGGCCCGAAAGAGTTGTCGCGAGGGCAGCGTCGTGGCGACGCGGGTGAGTGTGCCTCATGCAGGTCGACCCTGAGGTTAGAAAAGGGAAACGTCCGAGGTGGCGTTGTTCAATGAAAATACCATTCTTTCGGGATTGTTCTTTCTCAATATTGAAGCGCTCTTTAATAATAATAGAAATACCAAACAAATTAAACAAAAGCTGACACTATATGACTCTCAATGAAACCAATCTGGAAGGCGGAAGTTTGGTAGGCCCTCACGACGCAGAATCTGGGCCGCGCTTCATTGAGTGTGAGGAGGGCCACATGCGTTTTCACAGCCACGTTTCAGAGCGGGAACTTTCTCAAGGCATAGAGTGTCGAGTCCGTTGGCAGCGTAAACCTTACAGCTCGACCCCCAGGGCAGAGGACGGTTGCCAACCGTACGGTCTCATTACAGCGACGCTGATAATAGCCATGAGGGCAGGCACGTGTGAAAAAGGAACACTGACTGCCCCGAAAAATCAGGGACACGGTCCATGACATATTACGGTCTCTGATAGTACAAACCCGTCCGTTCATGGTATTTTGGTTGATGTAAAGTGACCAGCAAGTTTACTAAATACAATTCCTATCCCATATAACCCGGTCTGATAAAGGCCGTTGCCCAGAAACTCCTATCCGTCAACACCTTCGATAGCTTTACTTTACCCACACTACAGGCCTTAATCAGTTCCATCTGCGGTGGCGGTGGCATCTGCGCTCTCATCCGTAGCAGTCTCGCTTGCGGTTTCCGTTGCAGTGGCTGCGCTATCAGTGGCACTGTCCGTAGCCGCATCGGTGGCTGTAGCGGTATCAGCAGCGGTATCCGCAGCCGTGTCTGTGGCCGCGTCAGTCGCCGTATCAGTCGCCGCATCGGTGGCTGTAGCCGTAGCCGTAGCCGTATCCGTGGCAGTGGCAGCATCGCCGACGGGCAACGTGACGCCAAGAGCGGCACATTGCTCAGAAGCGGCGGCAGCCTGCGCCAAAGCCCTTTCCGCAGCACGTTGAGTGCGGCCAGTTCTGTTGCCCCCTCGGTTTCGGGTTCGGGCGGCCCTTGCGCCGGCTCGGTCTCCTTGGCCTCGGCCCTGCTGTCGACGCCGCAGAGACCGACGTTGTCGTGACTTGCCATTGGAAGTTCGTCCATTTCCAGAGGCTTCCTCGCTGTCGGTGGCGGCTTCTCCGTCAGCACTCGAATCCGCGGCTGTCTCGGTTGCAGCTGCAGAATCAGTCGCGGTCTCGGTTCCAGCGTCGGTAGCGGTTGCATCAGGGATAAGGGTTGTGATATCGGGAGTGGGTGTGACTTCGTTTGTGGCTGCTTCAGTGTTGGTGGCGGCGTCCGTTGCGGTGGCGGTCTCCGCAGCAGTAGATGAGATAGAGGAGAGGATAGAACTAGCTGCTACGGCAGCCTCGGAGAGGGCACTGCATTGCTCGACAGTGAGATCGGCGTTGTTGTTGCCGTTGCCATTGCCGTTGCCGTTGTTGCCGTTGTTCCTGTTTCTGCCGTTTCCGTTGCCGTTGCCATTGCCATTGTTGCCATTGCCGTTACCATTGTTGCCATTGCCGTTGTTGCCGTTGTTGGCGTTGTCTGCTCATGGTCAGTAAGATTCTTATTCACACTCGATCATATGGTGTCATCAACTCACTTCCAGCATTATTACCTCGGTTACCCGTGGCTCCATCCTGGTTATTGTTCTGGTTGCCAGCCTGGTTGGCGTTATTTCCATTCAGTAGATCGGCCAGTCCTCCCTGACCAAGCTGGCCAAGCTGGCTGAGGATGGACCCAAGAAGATCATTCGTGTTGCCACCGGCTCCACCGAGGAGATCGCCCAGGTTACCGCCATTCAGGACGTCACCCAAAGCAGTGCCGTTTAGGAGATCACCGAGGCCCCCTCCAAGAAGGTCGCCGAGATTGCCCCCATTGAGGAGGTCGCCGAGATTGCCACTGTTCAGGAGATTGCCGAGATTCAATTGGCGACGGTTGGGCGCAGCCTCATGGCCGAAAGAGCCTTGGAACAGAAGAGTGCTCAAAAGAGCTCCTTTCAAAGAAAACATAGATGGCATGGCGTTTTGTTAAGAAAAGGGGATAATATGGAGTAGGAAATGAAAGCGAAAGCTGCTCAGACAAAGGTCGAGCTGAACGAAGAGAAGGGAAAGGAATAGAAAGGACAGACAAAATGTCTACGCAGTAGACTGGCCGCAGTTGGCAGAAAAGAAGCTGGTGAGAGAACGGAATATCATCGACATGAGATTGGACTGATTGAAGAGGTTGGAAGTGGGAGTTGATATAGTTTGGTATGGGGCCCCGCGGATGCATTCTTGCCTCCTTCTTGCCCCCTGGCGTTCGCCATCCTAGCGTTGCACGTTGGAAGCTTGACTGGGGTAGCTGGACTAGAGATCAAGTAACCTTAATGAAGGTATCGACCCACACATTGTCTGAACTGTTCCTGTCGCCTTTCCCCTCCCGCCCAGATTGGCCAATGATTCAAGATGACAGTGACATCTGAGACCCGATGGGTTGACGACCGGGATCACGGCCATGGATTAGCTCGGTGAATGGACCACTTGCTTGTTTGGGATGCCAAGAATGTGAAGCAGCTCCTGTTTCGGTACTGCTGGGTTGGCGGTTAGTGAGGGAAAAGGGGAGAATTGGAACGGAAAGGGGCACATCTCCCTTCGCGTTCATGGACCGCACACGGGAGATACACAGATCCTCAAGCACTCTCGTCGATCGTCGGGATTCCGAGGAGCCCAGGTGTTCGGGGCTCTGCGAACATATCCATTGTTATTGCGATTGCCGCCCGTTTCTCGGCCGCTGAGCCCATTTTGTCCCTTATTTTCCCTCACCGATTTCGCTTCAACTCTTTTTCACTCGATGGAGCAAACTCCGTCATGATAGCAGTGGCAATTGTGCCCCCAACCCTAGCTTCACCTCTTGCCACAGAGCTACGAATGAGGCGATTGACTTCGAGAAAACAATGGGTCAATTGAGGCGTGTTGGGGCATAAAATGCATGCCAAAAATAATTCTTGATGTGAAACGTCAAACTCCTGGATTGCACCCCGGCCCTTCCTCCTCTGAAACCTGCACAGCCACCACCAAGAACGTGTCAATGATCGCCGCTGGTGCCAATTGCAGACCCGGAAAATAAAGTGGATTTTGACGGTGCTCCAGCTAGAATGCCGGATCGGGCGTCTTTTTGAAACCATGGAGCGCTCCTCGATGGTTGAGCGCTCGTATGATTTGCAACAGCATAATCTGCGAGGAAGATCGCAGGTGGAAATCATCGATGAGGTGCTTTCACTGCTTCTGATACTCCCGAGGGAATCACGGTCAGTGCGGACGCGTGCCATCGATCGCTTGCCCTTGTGGCGCGGAGACCAACGGTTAAGTCAAACAAAGATGATCGCGAAGAAATTAATTGGCGATCTAGAACCTCCATCATCCATGTAGGTGGTAAATTGAATGAAATTTCTATTTCACCCCAGGAAAACCGTGCCAGCGCAGGCAGACCTTCCATGCACATGAAGTCCGATTTGACGTTACAGTCTCCGTCCTAGCGTCGGTAATCTTGTCTCCGAAGCCTCAAATCGCACGCAAACCCTTTTCACCAAAAAGCATCGAAAAACTATTGAGCGTACGAAGTGATGTATACTCAGGTCTTGCCTTTCCTGGCATTGTGATCTGGATCTGAGATGAGCTATCCTATCCCTTGTCTCATGATAGCAGTTGTATCCGTCCCCCGTTTCCACTTGTCCTTCCCATCCTCCACATCTCCGTTGGACTTGCCAATGTGATTTTCCAGGCCGCGCAAGCCTCGTATAAACCCCGGGTAGATTCTTCCATGGTGGTTGTTGGAGCTGTTTCCACACCAACCTTTGAGCTGAAATTCGGCGCATGTATCCGCGACGCGCATCTGCCTCAGACCGTACCGTTGAGGATCTAGTGGTGGCTGAAGTCTCGGCCATATCGAACCTATCCCTGCCAGGCCCTGAAGAGCTATGTCAAGAGGGAGTACACTGGTTGATGCCATGCGCACAATCTGACCTTCCAGCCATTCGTGTAAGAGTTTAATACCAGTTACAGAGGGGATGTCTGTGCATTGCTAGATATACCATATACCTTAAGTCCTCCCCTCACCTCACCAAGCGGAACAGACCATTATCTGAGAATCACACGTTGTAAAACCCGCCAAACGGTGCCTTGATCTCAAAGACCGATCCTAGGGTTAAGGGAAGGGGAGCTCAGGTCCGGAACTCGCAGTTGGTTGTGGAGATCAAATCCCAGCACTGAACCACAGCCCGGCGAGGGAGTGGAGGCTGTACATGGGTCATCTTATCGCGAACTCCGTGAAGGACTCTACTTTCGTTATTATTAAAGCTAATGGGACTCATCCGTGGCGCATAAGCTTAATCCCTATGTCATAGATCGAATAAGTGTTCACCCGAACTCTGATCTATTAAACCCCAAGCCATTCGTGATCGAGTGCCAGATTAGGTCCTGCGATTATACTTTGTACAAACTGCAATAGGTGTCTAATGATGGGGTTATTCTCAGTCATCTATTTTAATGGCTTTTGGCCAAAGACAATACGCCTATTGATTGAGTCAGTCCAAGTTCAACGGAGACGGGTATACTCAGCTCCTCAATGCACAAATGAGAGGACTGAGAGAACACTCACAGCTCGCTATAGCCGTGGATGGAAGGATCTCTAAGCTCCTTCCGTATTTCAGCGAGGAATATTTGAGCCTCATCGTAACTCCACTACGCCCGGTACCGTTCATTAGCAACCCCTCAACCAAGTTCTCACAAGCACGTCCACAATAGTGGTAAGAAAAGAACAGACCCATAACGCCGAAGGATAGAAAAGGGAGTAGTCACCTTCAGCACGTCTATCAGGGAACGAAGGGCAAATCCTTCAATCCCCTGGAGTAAAAAGTATTGATACAGCTCGCCCCAGGCTTTCAATTTCCTATCCTTGGGCCAAGTCCCGAAAGGAATCTTGACAATGCGTTGATGGATGTTGGTGAACCCAGCGGCCTGAATAGCTTCGAAGGATATCTCAGCGGTGTGGAAGGTGATTCCGAGCTTCTCACTGACGTCGGACCAGACACCGGACCACCGTTCGAGAGCACTGCCTGAAGGAATGGTACCATCATCCGACCGTGTAATAGCTGATATCTCGACTTGTTCAATCCAGCCGCCAGGTGCAATATGCCTGCAGGTACGAATGGTTAAATCAGACAAACGACGGAGAGATACATAGCGGGACAAAGTTATGTGAAGGGCAAAACCCGAACGGAGCTTCCCTGCAAATCAACGTACATGAGAGCAGTTTTGTGGAATTCCATCCAGTCCCTCACCGTTCCTAGCATGTTTCGAACGTGGATAAAATCAAAGTAGTCAGAGGGAAAGGTCCACGGCTTGTTGATATCGTCGACTTCGAAGCGACAGTTTGGAGGCACAAGGCTTGGCTGAATAGGCGAGATATCGATACCAATAACCTCGGCAGAAGGATTCTCGTCGGCAAAATCTCTAATGGGTGATATAATCTCAATATTAGCGCCGAATGAGGCGCGTACAATATGGCTTTTAACTTACATCGCCCAGGCACCTGTGCCACACCCGATGTCAAGGACACGCTGCGGTATTGTAGGAGAGATGATGTAAGAGTCTGAGCCAAGACTTCACAGGGGTTCATAGCATGCTTACCCTAACATTAGACAGTGGGGTTTCATATAGTCCGTTTAATATGGCTGTGTGCATATAGTGACTCCAGGCATATTAGTTTCGAAAGCTGTATTGAGGTGACCGCGTATGCATCGAGGGACACCTGCAAGCCATGTCCTAGGACACCTACCTGATATCTTCTGCTTCCTGTTGTTGTTCATCATTGGGGCCCCTATCCAACCAAAATGTGTGAGCAGGATGCTTCACCCAAGAATTAACGGAGATCTAACGATCAGTATAACGAACCAGTAACTATCGACATGTTCTCCATGATAACGTCGTCCATTCTCCCATCTATACTTGAAAGCTGAAGACCGAAGCGTGAAAGTATCGGCTCCGATTCTAAGTGCCCATTGGATGTCAGCATGACGAGGGTTGCTTTTCTCTCTGACCACGGTTGGATGGACAGCAACTTACGCATCAATAAAGACGTACCCAGGGTTCGAATCCTAATTTGGGATGGACAGTTAACTTTCCGGCCCCACAGCTAAGAGTTGGCCTCTTTGAACGTTGTTCATCAAAACCGGGCAAGGTAAGGGTGCATACAACTTCGATCCGCTCTGGTGCGGGGTCCATTGGCGAGTTGATTCTCCGTATCTCAGATTTAAAATCAGCGCCGCAGGGGTGGGGGAAGGAGGCGAGTTGTGTGTAGGCGGGATAGTCTGGCAGTGAGCCGCAAATGTAACTTCAAGTGATTCACGCAATCACGGAAGGAGTCCAGAGCATGGTACGAAGTAAAGGAAAGTTCTGACTCCTACGCGCCTGCTTCCTTCAGAATCTGAGCCAGCACGGGGGCGTGACGAACTTGTCTCGCTGATGATTTGAACAAACTTCAGCCGCTTGCTATAAACAGTGTTTGAGACAGTGTTTGCACAGTTTGATTCTCGCTGGTTTTCTCTGTTGACTTCGCGCTAGATCTGCAAGAGACGGCGATGTGAGGGCTGGGCAAAGGTGACTAACCCAAATTAAGACATCACTGCAGGGACATGGATCCGTCCGCCTGAGGCTGATGATGCGGGGTCCGGGGTTGAGTCCAATGGCGCCTGGGCAGGGACATGCGAAAATCGGGTTCATCCATTCAGAGAACGAACGAGAATCTAGCACACGAACCTGGTTTTCGGGCCTCGAGGTAAACCAGGCTTCGTATACGAACAGAGGACCTCGGTCCCAAGCAAAGAGGATCGGGTCGACTTTTTCTCTAGGCGTTGGTTCGGAGCTAGACAAGGCATGGAAGTCATATGAATATGATTGTATTTTAAGAAGACCAACACGCATTGATATCACTTTATCTTGGCATCAGCTGCGGGTTCCAATTCCTCGGGATTCATTAAGTGGATCAACTGTCTTGGCGTGGCGTCATTCCCTGTTCTTCGGTAACTGTTGGGAGGAAACGTCGAATCACCAATCCCTATACAGACCAGCTTGCTGGGAGCGGATGCAGCCGCAGGTCCGTGGCTGTTATTGTTGAGAACTTCGTTCCAATAATTTGAGTTCTGTGCTCGGGGGCATGACTGCGTTGATATCGAACAAGATTTATCTGGACAAGGAGGCCAAGCGCTCCACTTTCAGAAACGAAGGGAACTTCGAAATCAGCATTGAAAGACCCCGATCCCGGGAAACTATCGACACAAGGCCCTCAGCCTTTAATAACCGGTCTACGACATATAGCAGCAACGTCTCCACGACGGAGACATATAACCAGGCGTCATTGTGTGTCCATCACACACCAGGGCGTACTCCTCGGCGCGGGTTTCTGCTTACAGTTGGACGGGCGGCATCTGTCTCCACCCGTGCATCCACGGACTCAGCTTCAACAAGAGAGAAACGCACACTTCTATTACTCGCCATACGCCCGGTAAGGCGGCCGGCTCCCGCCCGACTCCTCGAGACTAGTTGGCTTGATATTGGGTAGAACATCACTCAGAGATGGAAGAAATTTGGATGATGTATGTCTCTCAGTGGTTCGTACGGACGACAGCAAGATTTTGACTGATGGGGAATCAATTTTATGTGTTACCATAGATATTAGAGAAAAGAGAAAAACAGCTCGCTCTTCCGGGAAAGTGGAAACGACAAAAAAAGATAAAATACACTCAATCCTTTCGCTCCTTCTTCAAATCCAGCGCACCATACCTGTGAATTCGAATTTTAGCAATCAATGTATGGCTCAGGGTATGGGAGACGATGGAAATGAATCGATTATTACATACCATGATATGACCGCCATTCCTAGAACGGCCGCAATACAACTGAAAACCATGGCGACGTAGCCTTTGGCTGTGAATCCACTGGGAAGAGGACCGACAGGGGCATTCTCCCCTGTGAGATCGAAGACATCTTGGGTATTTGCAGCAGCGTTTCCAGCAACCGGAATATTGGCCGCCTTGCAGACCCTCAGGTGGTCCTCGGGGATTTCCATACCCTCAAGAGCATCGGGAGCTTCAATAATCGTTGCTACTAGGCCCTGGACCATATGCCATTCAATATGGCAGTGGAAGAGCCACACTCCGGGATTGTCCGCCCTGAAGCGAATCACAAAATTGCCGTTCGGTTGGACCCACAAGGTGTCTCGTCGCATGGGCGTCTTCGGCATGCTAATGCTGTCGTCATAGACGTACGTGCCGGCCTCTTCCTCGGAGCGGTGGACGACCTGGAAGTGGTGGCCGTGCAAATGGAAAGGATGCTTGCCAGGATCAGCGTTGTTCAACACGAGCTCGACGACCTGGTGACGCTTTAAGACGTGGGGGTTGGTGTGGGTCCCGTAAACCCGCGGATCTAGGGAGTTGTTGGAGCCGACGGTGAGGGCGGTGTAAAGGGTTGGGACTTTTGCGCCGACATAGGTGATATCATTGAAAAAAGCGCTAGATATTGTCAGAGAGGTTCACGGCAAGGGCCTGGGAGGGGATACAGTGTTCTTACTAGTTGGCTCCGTCACCGAGATTGTCCATCGTGACATCGAGCGAAAATGAATAGTCCACATTGTCATACAACTCCTCTTTATCGTATGGAACGAGGTCGAAATCATCAAAACTATTAAGCTCATCCAGCTCAACAGGTTTGGAAAGTTCCTTGTTCTCGTCGTATACCAGCCAACCGGTAACGTTGGGATTCAGACCATCGGGGATGACGTCGAAGAGATCCTGGTCCATAGCACCAACGACAGGGTAGTTTTTCGACGTATCGTTCTTGGTCGTGAGGAGGACGCTATATCTCTGAGCAGGGGTGATGTAGATCATATTTGCCGCGGCTGCTTCCGTCCAAACACCGTCAACCTCGACGATGCGCATTTCATGGTCTTCAAACCAGACATAATGAGCCGCAAATGCACCTATGTTTACCATGCGGATCAGATACGTCTTTCCGGGCTCGACCTTGATCTTCAAATTCTGCGTGTCATTCATGAGAGCCGAATCTGGCACCGGCTCTGCACCGGTCGGGTTCTTGAAACTGATGAAATCGGCCACTAAGCTGGGGACCGACCGGTGGTACCAGTCAGAAAACGACAGGACGATCTCATCATCGTATTGACCTTCGTACGGGCCCTCTGGATCATGGACGACAACAGGACCTCGAAGACCTTCGGGGTATAGGCCATCATTGTGAGCATGATACCAATATGTACCCGGTTGGGTGAACTGAATTGGTTGGGTGTAAGCGTTGGGCTGTTGCGCCTCTAAAATCCGACGTTTGAATTTTCGTCACTGACCTTGATGTTGTACGTAAATGATTCTCCAGGTGGGATCGCGCATTGCGTCACTCCTGCAGGTCCATCCATGGAATTGGTACCATTCTGGAAAAATCCGTGGAAGTGAAGACTCGTGCTCGCATTCCCGAGGTCGTTGAAGACATTGAGGATGAGCGTGTCCCCGACCGTAGCTCTGATCAAGGGAATTGGCCACTCCCCATTTACTCCGATCGTGGGTCGGTCGAATGCGCCATCCGGATTAGCGGTAACCCAGCCGACGGTAAAGTTTCTCTCGACAGTCTCCGAGAGGACTTGGGAGAACAAGGCGAAGAAAACCGCAGCGATACTCGCAATGCATCTCACTACGGAGAAGCGGGTGTTGGTGGCCATTTTTTGCTTCTCTGTGATGAGCGCAAGCGTTGCAGATGAACGCAAGCGGGGACACAGAAGGGGTTTATTATCTAAGTCTTAACAACAGAGGCGCCCGGCGGGTAGTTTGAGCGAACGAACTAATAGGGACTGCATGGAAGAGTAAGAAGAGACGGGCGCGGCTGCAATTTGACCCGCGAGTTTCCTCAAAGCTTTTGGAAGTGACCAAAGCGTGCCCGATATCGGTTTCCCGACATTTTCATCCTGTAGGTCTCTCAATGGCATAGACTGACGATACGAAGTACGAAGGCTATGAAAGAAAGTGCCGCACAATATTTTGCAATAGCACCACTTTCGCTAAAGGACACCCAATAAGCTACCTTGTAATGGTGACCCGCTGCCACACGAATTGCGGGTATTCCATGCAATATCAGACCCCATTCCCCTTTTTAGCCCAAAACGTGCCGACAGAACCGTTCTAGGCAGGGGTGGAAAAGAAGCTAGGTCCCAACCACCAATGCGATGGAGGGGCCGAGGTGAAAAGATTCCATCAGACCAACAGGTCCAAGGTTATCAGATGATCAGATAAAGTCACTGGACCTTGTTGATTCGACGTCAAGTGTGTTTTGACGCCGGTCGTGTCGTCCGGATTGATGCCAGTCGCTTCAATGGCGCGACTTTGGACATCCGTAGGGCCAGAACAATGGGTGAAAAAGAATGAGGCTGGACCTCGATGTTTAAGAAAACAAGCTTTCTACCCCCCGCGACCTCTCGTCTTGGCTACACTAATGTGTCTGAGGTTTCCCAATTTAGATGCTGGTGGAGTCGACGGAATCTTTTTCATAGGGCCCCAACTCCAACGCCAAGAAAGAGACGCATCACGAGGGTATCCTGATTCCGAAAAGTCCCTTTAACTTCCTTTATGAGCGGGAGAGTTGATGTCCTTCTGCGAGTGTGTGCAGGGCTGTTCTTGAAGTCATGAAGGGTGCGAAATAGGCCGTCCAGTAGAATTTTTTGTATTATCTTAACTTTCGTCAAATCTAATCTGATGTGAAGAAAATGGCGCCAGCGTTTCCAATGCTTCTCGCCGCCGCCCGCCGATCCTACCCGACCCAAAGTGCCACTAATGAAGGAAAATTTTTTCATGACCCTTGACCCGTCCTGTCGCAGATTTTTCGGTGAGTTGGGGGTTCCTATGGGCCTAACTAAATAAATGGAAAGAGGACTTGGGGAGGTAAGAGTGAGAACGGGTGAGAAAAGGGGAATTGAAACAGCAGCAATGGACGAGAAACATCCTTTCCAAAAGAAAAGCAGAAATAACTGCAATTGAGTCTAAATAACATGGCGGCAAACATGGCACTAATCTTATCGATCTCATCCACCATTCGCCTGATAATCAGTGATGATAATCAAGAACCTCTCAGTATTGCCTGATCGGATACGAAGTAGTGAAGAACCAGAAGTCTGGAACCTCGTAGCTCTTCCCGCCCTTGGCAGGCTTTGGGAGAAGGTGTCGAGCGGGGATAAGGTTGAGCCCTGAGCTTGTCTCGAGTAGATCAGCCCACTCCTCCTATCAATGGGCAGTCACACGGGTATTCGGCACGCACCCTGCATCATGGTCGTGGGGCACTGGTAGGGATACATGTATGGCTAAACGAAACGGGTATCAATTTGCGTTATCCAAAGAGCAGAGTACGAACTTGTTTATTGCGGGGCGGTCTTGTTTCCGTTCACGTCAACAAGCGTGAAAGTTTGTCTCGGATGAGAGGACAGGGAACCACCCACCCAGATTTGAGCGATATCGCTCCCTAAAAGAGATTTTTGCAGGCCTCGGATCAGATAATAAAGATCAGATAACGAAGCTCGACGACCACCCACCCCGTGCCACCATATATTACGGCATTCAATTTTTTTCCTTCCCTCCCGGTATCACCGTCCACCATTGCGATTCCCCTCCCGCAAGACGGGGCCATTTTTCACTTGTCGTGCGCATCTTGCTGCAGGGGGAAAAGAAAGAAAGACAAAAATGGCGCCTCAAGTCTTTTCAGTTCCCGTATTCCTCATTGTCCTCCGAGAGACCATCGAAGCGGGCATCGTGGTATCTGTCCTGCTTGCGTTCCTCAAACAGACGCTTTGTGGACCTAATGGGGATAGAGCGGTTTACAAGTCAATGGTGAAGCAAGTAAGAGTGCCCTGCCCTGACTTCCATTGAAGAATCAATTCGCGAGAACAGACGACGGACAGTGGTCTGGGATCATCTCTTGCGGCAGAAGCTAACTCAACACGCCTGTGTCCTTACAGGTTTGGATTGGCGCTCTGCTTGGCTTTTTGGTCTGCCTAATTATCGGAGGCGCTGTCATTGGCACCTTCTATCGACTCGGTAAAAATGTGTGGCAGTCCGCTGAAAACATCTATGGAGGAGTTTTCTACCTCATTGCCGGTGTCATCATCACCGTCATGGGAGTTGCGCTCCTGCGGATTGGCAAGATGCAAGAAAAGTGGCGCGTGAAGCTGGCCAAGGCCTTGGAGGGCCCTGTGAATACCACCACCGGCGTTAACAGGTTTAAGCGCTTCACTGCCAAGTACTCGCTATTCATCCTGTCGTTCATCACTGTTGTAAGGGAGGGTATTGAGGGGGTTGTATTCGTCTCCGGCGTTTCATTCTCAGCGCCGGCTACATCAATACCTCTTCCCGTAGTCATAGGTTTGATCGCTGGCGCCTTCATCGGTTGGGTTGTGTACAAGTAGGTTTCCTTGAACCCCCTTTCTCATCCTACCTTTTTGTTCTTGAGCCTCTCGGTATCCCGGGGTTTTCTGACGAATTTCAAAGGGGAGGCTCCCTGACGTCACTGCAAATCTTCCTCATTGGGTCCACATGCTTGCTCTACTTGGTAGCGGCAGGCCTCATGGCTCGCGCGGTTTGGTATTTTGAAGCGCAACACTGGAATACTCTCATTGGTGGCGGCGATGCTGCAGAGCTTGGAGCTGGGCCGGGCTCCTACGATCTCCACAGGAGCGTCTGGCATGTCAATGTACGTGTAACCTGACCCTACTCTCCCCTCCCCCAAGTCCAGTCCCCTTTCCCCGGGAACCCTTCCTCAACCTTGTGTCCCGAGCTGACCGTCTTCAAAGTGTTGTAACCCTGAATTTAACGGTGGCGGTGGCTGGGGCATATTTAATGGTATCCTCGGATGGACGAACTCTGCCACTATCAGCACTATCCTCACATACAACCTCTATTGGTTGGCAGTGATTGTGACATTCTTGCTTCTGGGGTACAAGGATATTCGCGGGCACTGGCCGTTTATGAAGTCTAAGGAGTCTATCGAGGGTGACTCTGAGCAAGACCGGGACTCGAACAATTTGGAGGTTGGCGAAGCAGGACTGAGTATGACCGGAGCGTATAAGACTGTTCCCATCGAGGCGCCCAAGGAGGTAGAAGAGAAATAAGGCGCATGAGTTATCAGTATGAAAATGACAGGGTTGGTTTTTTTTTTTCTTTTTTTTTATTTTTTTTTTTTCTCCTTTTTGGTTGTAGAAGTTCCCCATGGGACACGTTATGTATCTTACAAGTTCTGTCTATTTTGAAATCTACTGCGGAAGGGACCAATATATCAGAGAGCACGCCTGAATGAATCGACACCAGTATCCGCAACTTTTACTTTCTCTCTCGCTATCTTTCTCAGTTCTAGTAGCCCTAGGGTTAAGTAAGTCACACCGAAGACACCGGATGGTTGGCGCAGAGGATAATATGAACTTGGGGCGGGTAGACGGGTCAAATTAAGGTTAAGGTTAGGGATGGGTGGCTCTTTAGTTTAGTGTAGTTGCTAATTTCTGTGACAAGATACAAGATGACTTATGTCTTGTTCATGCTCTCCTAATCCTGCTTAATGATGCTTCATCAAGTTAGACTGAGTTGTGAGGCGCAGAGTTGGGACCGTATCCTTGAAGCTTCCATGATGCTCTCAGCCTGAGACACGACACCACTCGGTCACAGAGTCAATTTCTGCAATTACTGATAAATCCTGGCGATATATTCCTCATCGTCAGGGTGCATCGACATAGCTGAACGCCCTACTACTGGGGTTTACGAAGGTTTCATACTCAATATTGCCTGCTACACTCTTAGTTTATTGACGAGGAATGCATACAACAAAAACCTGACCTTGGAGAGTCTTGACTGCCATCTTCATGATATGGATAGAGAAGCTCATTACAAACGGGCAGGTAGATCTGGCAACAGAAAGGTAAGACATAGATTTGGTATTTGTATTGACGTGGAAGAACGTAATTCCATGTCCACAACGCGGAAGTCTACTTTTCTTGTTTACTTTTCTTCTTTATTCATTCGTTATACAGTTCATCAATCACCAGCAAAAAAAAAAAACACGTCATTTAATTTCTAATCCTCATTGAGTTAAGTCTTTTCAATCCTCCCTAACGGAGTACTGGCCCTGATTACAGAAAACGAGGTCCCGACATATTCTCCGTCCTTTTCGGTGAAGTGTGCTTCGTACAGGGCCGCCTTGCGAACTTGTTTCAGTCCCCATTGCATTATGAACCCCCGTTGTGTCCCTCCGGGGTTATCCCCCATTGATCAACGAATCCGATGCCTGTCAGTTCTTTCAGGAATTTGCAGCGGCTGCCAGTGGATTTTGGTATTTGATCATAGGTCGCCAAGCGGTTGTTTCGTCGATGTTTCAGTCATTCGTCTCAATATGATCTTGGTCTAGTACAGTACCCGAGAAACAATCCCCGGGCATGACGGACAGCCCGCATACAGCCTACGGAGATGGAGTGTAGGACTGACATATCACTTTACATCAACATAGTAGACCCAACGATGGTGGCCTCGAGGCCACGAAGCGATCCAAGTCGCAAAAGATGGGGACGTCGCTACACGGCACGGTGCTTTGCCCTCGTCCGATATTTACTTGAAGTGTGATAGGAATGGGAGAGTGCAGCTGTGATAAGTCCTTTCAGTCCGAGTGTAACACATTGATGCGTGACATTGGGATGCCAGCCCCGTTCGCCATTTATTGCCCGCATGGAATCTTTATGGCTTCGGCACTTTCTGTACTTCCCAGCGCAAGCGGAAGAAACAGTGAAGGCAGAAAGAACGAAGGCGTATTAAAAAAATCAAGTGCAGGATCAAGCAAAGGCGCCATCCCGCCGTTAAGCAATATGGAAGGCTCGAAGGTGGAGACAAGTTGCATTGAGAATTCATTTTCGAGGACGCAATGTTGGAAGGATGGTGAACGTCGCACGTACTTCGAAGTGCGGCCGGTTAGGATCATCTGTTCCCATGTTACGCCAGCGGACAACAAAGTATAGCGGCTTGTTGAATTTCCCTGACGCCCAAAAGGGGCGTCAAAGCAGCGGGGAGTCCTTGGTCTTATATATAAATTGTCATGCTAAGAGGGCTTGTCTCTCGATGGAGGAAGGTCGTACCAACACTAAGTGCGAGGTAGCAGGGCGAAAGTCCTGAATCAGACATGCCAACAAAGGAGACGGGAGAAATAGCGCGGAACCCATTATGGAGTTGATGATTCCGAGTCCTTTCCATCATAGGCCCATGAGTTCAACTTCTTGCTCCTTCCGTCATCTGGACGTGGCGTGACATCGTCTCTGACATGCCGCTCACTGAAGATTTTTCACCTCTCCACGGCTATTGGACGGGGAGTTGGATCCTTTCCCGATCTGCTCCTCTTCCAGGAGCCGTCGGCAAATGAGCCTTGACTGCAAGGTACCCGTGCCCCACAAACCGAACGATGAAACCACGATCACCAGTCACTTGCGTGGGGCACAAGTGGTGGATGTTTGCGCTGTTTGCTACATCATCAGCCTCCATCCTATCACTGGATTACATTGATCAGGATCGAGCTTGATGCGCAGTGTGATGCCTGTTTTCCGTGCGGCTGGACTATGGAGGATGGACGGGGCTGAGAGCCATACAAAATCCATCACGTCCTGGGGTCCGAATCCTCCGGGCCGATTACTAACATCGACCGCAGTGGTTGTCGTTGAAAGGCCGCGTCTTGGTGTGGAAAAAGCAATTTGGAATTGAACTCGAGATGTCGTATGACCGCAGCGTCTATAATAATCCTTAGGTCGGTTCTGGGGGGATTACTCTACAGGTGGTTGGGCCATTGTTGGCACTACTGCAGAACCCAGGTGCGACAATTTTAAGGGGTCGGGAGACGTTAGGTGAACAAGAAACGGCTGCCACCGTCCAATAAGAACAAGACCAGGATTTAGATTGCTTCAGGTCTCTTGGCATGTAGAGTCCCGCCACTTCTCGCATGGCCCAGATGTCGATCATCGTTTTTAGCTCCGACGTTGACCAATGCCGGCTAGGGGCCAATGCCAGCTAGGGTTGTGCACCAATGAAGCATCGGCTCGAATCCAGACTTCTGCTGTGAAATCTGTCTTCGTTAGGAGCTGACACGACAATCCACGACAAGGCGAAGGACAACGTAGCAGTGACCCCTGCCACTAGCTGCTAGTGACAGCCACCGTGTAGATCATCTTCTATGCGGGGAGCCCTATGGGGAGGATCCGAAGCAGGGCTACCCGAATTACCTCGGATATGGGAAAGATGTTCAGAAATCAGAATAAGGTATGTGAATCCCTTCATTCGTTTGTCGATCCCCCCCTTACCAGGCGCGATGATCATCGACACAAACAGACGTATACGAAGACCGCGAAGTAAGTGTCGATTATTAATTCCTTCCACGTCCTAGCGCGGCAGGACATTGTGGAATTCGTGGCCAATATCGCCGATCAGGTGAGGATAATTATAGCCTCATGCCAGCTCCCCGACTTTTCCCTTGGGAGGAATGTAGATCTGTGTCCCTTTCTGGAAAGCGATCAGGAATCTTAGCCAGCCCTAGCGGAGGCTAGTGCGGCTGGCCTGGGCCTTCCGCATACTACCTCGTATTTTTCTCGAAAAAAATATCCGCACACCCCTGCATCGTGCTGGCCGAGATGGGGTGAGTTGGCCAGCTGCGACCTGCTAGAGGGCTTGGCACGGCTAACCGTTTGTTGTTTGTCCATTCTAAGCAGAAACTGCCAACGAGGTGGCGCTGCGAGAGCCAACGATGGGCCCAGTCGAGATTGGTTTCAGGCCGGCCAACAACCGCATGACTTCCCAACGGCGACCTTCGTCCGCCCAACACGAACACATTGAATGGGCGTGCTAGACTGTCTCCCTCAGTAGAGCATACCAATCTCCTGTGGTCATCTGATTTGGCCTTAGCTTTTTCTTTTCGCCTTGTTGACTGGAGCGGGACCCTCTTCTCTCGGCCTTACCAAGTCAGATGGTGATGATCATCATTACATGACTGCCGTCCATATTCGCGGACGCAGCGGAAGGTCCACTGGTTGCTGCCTTCTTCGAGTAAATGATCGGCATGAGTATGGATCCTCCGCAACGTAGAGTAAATTTACGGATATCATGACGGAAGCAAGGAGGTTTCCTATCCGAAGATCGAGATTTGCAGCGGAAAATAAACTATATAATCTCAAGCTCTTCTCCCGTTTCATCCCTTCTTCTTCTCATCCTCATCATCATCCAACTCACACTCAACTCTCCAGCTTCAATCACCTTCCAGCAACGGCCGTACATTCTTTAAGTACTTTAATCTTTCCAACAAACCCAACACACTCATTCAAAATGCAGTTCTCCCAGATCATCTCCACCCTTGCCATCGCCGCCTTGGCCGTTGCTGCCCCTGGAAAGGGTACCTCCAAGGACATCACCATTGAGGAGGCCCAGAACGTCTGCGGCAATGACCTCACCCTGAGCTGCTGCAACAACGAGCAGGCCTTCGGTGGTCTCGGTCTCCTTTCCGGCCTTGTCTCCGGCCTCGGCATCTTCAACGGATGCTCCAGCCTCTCTGCCTCCGGCCGTAAGCCAACCCCACATTCCCCGCTCCTTTCCCGCAGCGCACAGTTACTGACAAGGAATAACCCCACAGTCATTGGCGTTGGTGACATCCTCAACAGCCACTGCAAGCAAAACGTCGTCTGCTGCCACGGCGGTGAGACCAACCAGGTATGCTCAGCAACTTCTCCCTTCCCCGAAGACAGTCTTCTAACAATTCAACTCTGCAAACAGGCTGGTCTTGTCAACGTTGCCCTCCCCTGCGTTGCCCTCGGCAGCCTCCTCTAAATTATTGGCCTTGTCTAATCAATTTACACCTTTACCCTTCTGGAGATGCGAGTTTAGATAGCAAGAGTCCTTTGTCAATAATATGATCTAATATTACACGATACTTGAACGATCCCATCGTCTCTTTCCATCTTAGAGAAACCGTCAATGTCATGTTTTAGTCGAGTATCGGTCCTTGATATGTTTCAGCATTTCCCTGGGAGACTGTCTGCTCTTGGAAGCAGCCATGATTCACCCAGCGTTGCCCAGTGGCCGGTTCGACAGATACACCAGTTTTCATCATCTCCAGCTCTGCTCTGCTGGCCGCTTATTGTGCGCGGTTCTAAATTGCTGCCTCCTATCCGTATTGTATCGTTTCATTGCGCATATGCCTGCCAAAACGGAGTCACGTAAACAATACCAACTACTCCAAGTCTGCTGGCTGACGCCCCCTTGTCGGAGAAACATGGCTTTCGATTTCTCATTATGCATTAACAATACACGCTTCCTACGTGTCACCAGATGTGATGGAGAAACAGTCGCGCAACGTCGTCGGAAGGACACGGCGTTGGCTCAAGGAAGTGCCGGGTCAAAAAGGTGTCCATCCGCGAATCCTACGGCAGCACCAAGTTGCGGCGGAATCTCCACCCTCTCTCCATCGACACGCGTTAGCGACATTAGCCTGTCATCCTTCCAATGTAGATCTCTGCATCTTCGTTGAATGAGGAAAAAAAAATTCCTTTCCTACCTCGGGCCGATACTTTACATACAGTGGCTTACTTACATCGAAGCTGACACCAGGAATCCTGTTGATCAACTGATATTTGGAATAAGTTGGACCCCCTACTTTCGGCCACCCCCCCCTTTCGGCCACCCTTTTCCCATACAAAATAGCGATTTGCAGGGGTCTATATCTCCACCAATCCTGTATATATAATAATAAAATTTTATATATAGCTTCTTTTCATAGTTACTAGCTAGGAAAAAAATATAAACTTGAAATTTAGCAAAAGGGTAGTATGTAGTAGATAGTTAAAGTACGCCTATATAAATTATATATAAATTAAAACTAATATAATTACAGTAATAAGAGATATTATATAATCAAAAAATATATAATTAATTCTATAAAAAATTGTCTTTTAAAAAGTACTATTCTTTATTTTATAAGTATTTTTAAGCTAGAGTATTATAGTAACTACTTTTCCCTATATAAAATTTACTAGGGAAAAAAATTACCCCCTAGAACTAAATATTAAAAAAATACTATAGCTTAGTTCTTTCTACTATATAATCTTACTTATATTATAATACTATATTATAAGTTATATTATCTATAATCCATTTATTATAAAGTTATTTAAGTTTTATGTTTATATACAATTTGTATGGGCTTTTACAATCTACAGTTTAACTACCTACCACACACTACCCTTTTACTGAATTTCATATTTGAATTTTTTTCTGCAATAGCCTTATAAGAAATAAGCTATATACAAAATTTTATTATTGTATTTAAAGAATTGGTGGAGATATAGGCCTTAAAAAACTGTAACTTTTTGCTGTTTTTGGTGGGAAGTGGGGTGGCCGAAAGGGGGGGGTGGCCGAAAGTAGGGGGTCCAACTTATAGTCAAAGTGCGGACACCTGCGGCGGTCCTGATTAGCTCGCTTGCACTCTCGTCTCCTCACCAACCCGCGAACAGGTGCTGGTCTAGGAGGAAAAGGCATGGCTTTTTCAAATGGCGCCCAAAGCGGGGGCGGGTTGGGCCGGTGAGGCGCAAGGTGAAGCTCTGGAATGGACCTCATGGTGGTTGACCTTGGTGTCATTCGCGAAACGGGGTACGGGAGACATAGGTATGGATCTGCATCTTGGCGCACACACCTACAGGCATAGTCGGCAGAAGTGTAGAGCCGATAGGATGTGGTAATCAGGTTGGAACCTTTGGAAGAGAGAAACTGACGTTGCGAGGGCTGGAAGTGGGACAGATATGGATAATGGGCATTGTTAATTCCCCGGGATCACAGAAACATTCGGAGGCAGGGATGACTTCAGAGGAAAACTCTTTTCTTGTAACCTTGTAGGAGAATAAGACCCTGCGTTTTTGGCATTACGGAGTATCAAGGTCTTACAGCCTGTTAAGGTTGCCTCCCTTGCTGTCTCTCTGTCTCTCTGTCTCCCACCTCCTTCCCTCCCTCTCCCGCTCTACTTTCCTCACATTGTGCTTGCTTGAGGACGTAGAACTGGCACGTAGTCCGGTCTGTATGTGATCAGTACCGGTAATTTTCGTCTCCCAAGCGTTTTCTGTGAGTCCGGGAATGGCTGCAACGATTCCAATAGATGATAGGGACCACGCGAGTTAGGTAAGGTGATCTATGTGTAATCGCCCTTTGGCCATTCTGAAGAGGTTAAGAATGTGAGGGGTCGCTTGTGTGAAAGGCGGGTAGGGCGGGGACGTAGTCGAGGAGAAATCTCTCGTATGAGGGGGCAGCTAGTGCAGTTTCTGGCTTTCTCAACATAAAGTCAGATGTATCGCCTGATCTTTCGGGCCGCGCTCTCGTTTTCTGTGTTCCAAGTACATGATGGAGGCGATGATCGTTGATTATAGTGTCCAATCACCCGCACGAGTGCCAAATACCAGCGTCTTTCTCAAGACCTTCGTCTATGAAGTAAACCCGGCAGAATACCGCTGATCTTCCCCTGGAAGTCCACTTATTCAGGACTTGTTTTCAACAGGTGTAGCAACTCATCAGGTGAGGGCTGCAGTTCATCGAGTAAGTCCACCACTAGAGGATCAGTCGAGAGCATATTCGGGGCCCTTTGCATATAGACATAAAAGGGCAGCACTTCCCGATGCTTCGAGTCTTTCTTGAATCAGGTAATCCAAATCCAAAGCTCTCGAGGCGGACTCCGTCTCCTTCGAACCATCGTCGACGCTGCTCCTCTCTTCCTACGACATAACATTCGGCTGAACGCCAGCTCCGTAGACCTTCTCAAAAGGCTCCCCAATGGAGGAACCTAGTTGATTGTTCTCGGGCCGTCCCACCGGTCGCTTTTAATCCGGAAGGGTCTGAAAATGGCAAGGATCCCGAGGAAATTTCTGGCGAAAAACCCATACCGGTTTCGGCAATGATCCCAGCTCCATAAAGAATGAAGTGACTACCCCGAGGGACGAGGTGGGGAAATATGTGACACGCCACCCTGCAGCCTGGGAGTGCGTGGATGTGCGAGGAGCCCCGAGACGTCATGCGATCCAACAGCTGGAAGTTTTCGTTCGAAACCTCCAGGAGCTTAGCACCAGCCCCTATGAAAGGCGGAGAGTGGTAGAAATGTGAGAGTGAATGGAACATTCGACCGGAAGATAGGGCAGAAAGGACAGGTACGTGGGCAATTCACGACCAGTCCCACTCTCTTGAACTCCACTGGAGCATCTTTCGCTTTATAGATTTGGCTTCGAATACGGTGAACCCTTCGGCGCGCCGAACAAGCTATCCCCAACTTGCCGCAAACGCTACGAAAGATCCATCGACTGTGTCGGTTGGTGTTTGACTCGTCGACGACTGGTGGAAGAGCCGAGGAAAATTTAACCAGGACACCTTTTTTCACATATGACGAGCTGTCGGGAGCCTTCCCTCGTCGCTTGACATTTAGAACCTAAACTGCTGCATATATACATGTTTACTAAATGGCTAGGTGAAGAGGATGACAGAGAGGAATGAGGGCAGACTCCAATATTGAAAAATTGGTTGTTCAGCTGTCCCTGACAATTTCAGCGAAACTCCCACCGTCGAAGTATTGATAGCTTAAGATTGTTCTTAGCTAAATCAAGGCAAAAAGCGAAACTTCATTCACATCAGTCTAGAACTGTCGTTGGCTATCCAGCCTGTCCTCCCTGATCAAGTCGGCGGCCTTTTCAGCCACTGCATATGTAGTGGCTTGTGTGTGACATGTTGGCAAGAGTGGAAAGACACCAGCATCGACAATTCGGAGACGCTCAACCCCGTACACTCGCAACCTAGGGTCTACAACTCCACCCAGATCACGAGGCATCATCGCTGTGGTACCGACCGGATGGGCATTGCTAGGATTGATGTGCCTTGTGCGGAAAAGCTCCTCCAGCTCCTCGTCGCTCGTAATATTCGATCCAGGAGCAATCTCCCGAGTGCCCAGTGTGCTCATGGCGTTGCCGGCCATGATACGACGTCCGAATTTCAGGCCCAGAATTGCAATTTTCATATCCAAGGGATGAGTGACCGCTCTAAAGTCTAACCTAGGCGGAGAGTTCGCCGGATGCGGATTAGTACTGCTAATACGAATCGTTCCGCGGGAGAAAGGTTTTTGAGGATGGAAGCTCATGTCAGCACCGCCGCCGAAGGTATGTTCGAAGACGGACACCTCGTCCTTGCCAACTATGGTGGCGAGAATAGCATGCTGAGCTGCGTAGCCGGCTAACAACTCCTCTCTTTGGAGGTAGGTGTCCCCGAGATAGAGAGCCGGGTCCTCACTAGTAAGCTCTGCGGCGATGTCGTCAACCTCTTCTGTGAGATTTTGAAGAGAGAGCATGACACGACAATGCTTTCCGGTGTGGGTAATCGGCCCCGTCTTGTTCGCCCAATATTCGTCGAACGCTTCGTCAAGAAACTCGGGGTCGTTGAGGGCGCTCGGATTCAGTCCCATGTCGTTTGTAACTTGTCCAGAGGACGTATGAATAAGTGTGTGCGTTTCTAACTAGATTCCCGACTGTTGTCCACTTACATCTCCACGCCATAGATATCGATAGATGGTCTTGGAGGTTGGATCCCACTCCAGGCAAATCGACGACCTCATCAATTCCCAAGTCTTCCAGCAAATCTCGTGGTCCTACCCCGCTTAGCTGCAAAATCTGTGGTGTGTGAGCGGCACCCGCTGCCAGGATGACCTCGCTGGATGCAAGCACCAATACCGTCTCGTCACTCTCTCGACTAACAATGTTGAGCCCATCGGCAGTTTTGCCGTCGAAGCTAACAGTTGACGCGAAGGTATTGACGATGAGGGAAAGGTTGGGTCTGTCGCTGGCAGGATCCCAGTATGCCTTCCGTGACGAGGACCTCGTGCCATTGACGGGGTCGATGTCGGACGGATTCCAGTGGAATCCGACATTAACGCCATTGGTCCCGCCGTCTGTTCGAATTTGTATCCCAGCTTCCTGGAAAGCGTCGATATAGGTGTCTGCAAATCAGTTGGCGCCTTAGCATCTTCCATAGCCCTGGGAAGCGTGGAGATTATACATACAGGTCGCAGGCCATTGCCAACTTGGCAAGCTTACCTGAACCGGCCCATCACCAAAGCCGTCGCCGCTGAGGCCATAATGATACTCGGATATGAGCTCTTCGGAAGGGAGTGTTAATGTGCTTGACTACAAGGCAAATGGTAAGCGAAACGACATTCAAGAGAGGTGATACGCTGCCGGGCTGACCTTTCGGAAGTAGTGCAGAAGACCCTCCCATCCCCACCCCGGATTTCCAAGTTCTTCCCAGGCGTCATAATCGGCCTTCGATCCTCTATCCCATGCCATACCATTGACGGTTGATCCTCCTCCGACCGTCGCGCCAACTGCCAAGCCGCCCGTTCGATTAGCCAACCCGACTTGTGGGACAGACGTGAGATAGAAGAGGTTGGAAAACTGCATGTTCTTCGCATAGTATGGCAGAGCAGCGTTGAGGGAGTCGTCAAAGTCGCCATACTCAACAACCAATACCGTGACTTATCCGTAGGTCATCAGCGGATGAAATTCAATTGCATCAACGGTGGGTGAACGTTACTACATACTATCTGGATCTTCGCTCAGTCGACTGGCCACAACGAGACCGCTAAGACCGCCGCCAGCAACGATGTAGTCGTAAGAGGCTTCGAGTTCAGAGAAATCACGAAGGATACCGGCAGCTTTCGCTTGGGCGACGATTGCCGCCAGAACGATAGACTCATTCCAGAGAATATACCGCATCCTGGCAGAAGAGGCGATACAAGTCTACCACAAATTAGAGACAATATGACGAGTTCTGGTGAATGGTTGTTGGAAGACATGAAATACAAGATCGGCATCACTTTCGAAGAGCTGACAAGAAACCGGAATCGAACCGCTGGCTGAATGCAAATACCGACACTACCCCACAAATATATGTCGTAGGTTAATGAATTAGATGAAAACGATATATCCTCACCGGCTGATTACCAGACCTTCCCCTGCAGTTATCCAACACCGCCACCTATAATGACGTATAGCTCTCCCTCCGTCGCAGAACTCCCGATATTAAGGAAGCCGTCCCCATGGCGCGATGGACAATACCAACGAGGAAGACCTATCAGAATCCGATAACAGTCTCCAATCTCCCTCCTTACGTTGATATGATGTCTGGGTTCCTTGAATAATTTTTACGATAAAGTCGGCCCTCGGTTCGTGGATGGCAGGACGGCGATGTCTCACTCGAGGAGGAAAATCACTTAGAAGAGGTCGGAAGATTGCATGTTCTTCGTATAGCATGGACAGAGCGGCCTTGAGAGGGTTGCCGAAGTCTTCATACTGAACTAGCAGTACATTGACTTGCCCGTGAGGAAGCAGCGGATGATTTCAGCTGCATCATCGGCGGGTGGAGAGACATATTGTCCCAAACCACCGGGCACGCCTCTATATCCGCATCCACCACCGCTTCTCTATATCCTTTTGCCGGAGTTTCCTCGGCGGATGCATCTATAGTATATTCCCACCAGTATTTAAACTCATGGTACAAATACCAGAATGAATTCATATAGTACTGCCACTGTGAACCGGAAATCTCAGTCTGCTTCTGGGCTTTTCGAAATGCTACATGCAGCGGCCTTGGTGCCAAACACTCGTCGCCATCCTCTTCTAAGACAATAGGTTGCTTCTTCCACCTTGAACTCCCATTCATCCTGAGGATAACTGCAGCAATAGCGCCGAAGGCAAATACAACCCATGGAGACCACTGGCCAACCGCCACAATGGGCTCAGACTCTGGGATCCAAGAACTGTTCACCTCTGTTTGAATTCCGAGGTAGAGGGCACCACTAATCCATGCGATGTAGATTGTGGGGGAGAAAATGTACCATATCACTGCCATGGTTTTGGCGAACAGGTATCTTGTTTTCGTAGGCGCAAGTTGAAGCTGGACAAGGTTACCGAAGCTAGTCGGCAATGGTACATGTAATTTTTTTAGCACCCAGCAGAACAAGCGACCCAAGGCCCTCGCGACATGTAATTCCGGCGCGAGCAATAATAGAAACATCCAGAGATATCTCAAGCCGATGAGGGCGTAAATGTATGTGAGACGGATGGATGACTGTCGAGGATTTCGAGCAACATACTTCATCCTCAGCCGCCTAAAAAGTCTGTTACGGGTTTGAAGAGGCGACTTGAAGCCTATAGCAAGAGCGATAAACAGCATAGGCGCGCTGAGGATGTAGTACCGAATCCAGATGTCTCTAATCCATTCGTACCTTGGGTCCGAAGATATTTCTCCTGCGCCTTTAATCCATTCTTCACTTGGGATGCAGGCTCTCCATGTCGGGCTGGGAGCCGGGATGGGTCGTGTCAGGTTCAAAGTGCAAATCCCCGTCGTCCGATCTGGACGACCTAAGCAAAGTGTCTCGTTACCGGAGGTTGAGTTCCAAGTTACCTTGGACTGAATAGCACTCCACAACAAAGGCTGAAGACCGCCGTCGCCATTACCATGGAACATCGTCCGGGGTTCCAGGCTGTCGCACGGATTTTGGCAAACTCCCTTTTCGCCGACGCCGGGAGGTATTGTTATTAGGGAAGGATCGAATATGGCATATGTAGCGACCTGTCTGACGATGAACATCAGGACACACCACCAAAGGTAGAATGCGAATGCGTTTCTGCCTAGTAGTCGTGGGGAAAAGAGAATACACAAAATAGTAGCGAATAGAGAGTATTGAACGACAATTTGAGCGGCAAAATAATCCGCATCGTAACCCTTTCGCGGCTGAAGAGCGAGAAAGAGCGAGTGGATGGCGGTGATGTTCGAGTATGTGAAAGCGAAAGCAATCGCACCAGCAGCAAGCCATTCGTGGGATTGGAAAATAACAGCCGTAAAAACCGCAATCCAAAAGAGTAGTCGTTGGAATTGGGTGTATGAACCACTAACCGGGTATACACACCAAATGTCAAGACGGGCAAACGTAGTTTCGCTCATTGTCGGCTTTACACTGATGACCTTCAGCTCCTCAAGTTCGCGATGGTGGGATGTAGGGTAAAATTGAAAGATGCATTGATGTTGCTGGCACAGCTTCATGCAACTTCGACCTTGAAAGAAATTCACTTCTTGAACGGTGTGACGTCAAGGAGAGTACCGATGCGCAGAAGTGCATTCAGCTGGTTAGCCTGGCCAGCCTGGCTCAACGGAAATGCGGGATCCCTGCTGTAGCTGAAGCTTGTTGATTCGTCCAGGATGATGCGATTAGATCTGATAGCGTCGTGCAGCCAAGAGAGGCGCATGGGACAGGCAAAATCTGTGGTGGCTATGCTGCGCAGTTCGACACACACCGACACGATTTCGGTAACCGCGAGACTGAAACGTCGATATGCTAAGCAAAATCGCCCAGGCAAGGTCATTGGAGCGGGCCGGTTCCAATGACAAAAAGCGCAAGCGCTGGACCTACTGAGCCTGGCTGACCCAGAATTGTCCTGGCCATTAACGAGCTAACTGATTATGCCCGTTTTGTACAAGACCGCTCATATCAGTGGTCGTTTCGTCGTAAGGGTCATCTTACCCGCGATAGTAATATGAGTTGTTAATACATCGTGTACAGACAGGCACGACTCACGAGTGACTGATTTCGCCTATTATACATATTTAGAAGCCTCCCCTCATACATTTTATCCATCTCTTCTCTTCGGCCTCTCTATTCAACTCCGAAGCCGCCGTGCTCGCGGTCGAGGAGCGGAAGTAGGAAAGTGGGGGATGGCGAGAGAAGCTAGGTAGAGGAGGCTATGCCAGCCAACACAGCCCTTTCCAACTGCGACATCGCAAATTCTAGCCAACAGACTACAGGAATCCCGTAAAATCTTTCGACGAGCCACGAATTAAACCCGCCTTTTGCTCTCGAAGAATGCTGGCATTATGTTGACTAATGGGAACAGAAGAGGGTCGAAACGGACTCGCTGTATTTCTTAACTTTCGCCTGGCTTATATCTATCACGAGTACCGATCGATATAGTGCTCTCTACTCTACAACATCCGTTATGTTGGGTTCTCTGTCTTGTAGCAATGGATACCAGGGAGGAGAATGGGGGCCCATCAATATTCACTGAAGCTCTATCCCCGAATGCCCCAAACCTAGGCTTCAACATATAATCTACAACCTGGCGGAGATGAGAATAAACGGATGCTGCTGATGTCTTCAGGATAACCCGATTCGAGCGCGGCAGGGAGGGAGAATTGAAGGCTGACGATAATAGCGATCACTTTCACCACTACATTGATCTCATATCTCGACTTTCCCCAGGGAATTATTACCATGGAGCCGATGTCCAATTGGCGGACGACAATACCCGTTGAACTCTTTGTCCTCTTTGTCAGTAAAGGACTAGGGAATCGAGACGCACAAGACGCTAACAAACGCTAAGCAAGACGGCTGTTGAGGGAAAACGACTGCCCCATTTTCACCATTCCGAGTGAAAACAGGCTCTACAGATGGAGTTGTCGAGAGGAGATGCCCAGCATCTTGACGGAGCCGGCCACGTCGGCTCGTGTTTGCTACATAACCCACGTCGAGAAAATTGTAGAATGCAAGTGTTTGACAAGTCGTCACCACCGTTAAGTTTGGTGTGGCTGGTGGTCGGACGCCTCCGTAACTCCAAGCAGGACCATGACGAGTGAGCGAATGCATCTACCAACGTGGGCCGGACGGGGCTCCAAGGGAGCCGCGGATCTTTAAGAAGGGGTTTGTGTGTGTGGTTCGTATTGGGCTGCGAGCAAGGATAGTTTGGGGTCATCTTTGCGGGGAGTCCAATTAGCCTAGGAGCTGGGCACAATACGAAATTTGCTGAACACCGGACAGTTTGGAATTGTCTCTTTGATAATCAATTGGGGCTTGGCCCATGTCTTTGGCCCATGTCCTTGGTGCATCTCCAACAGAGCCCAATCACTAGTCCCACGTGGGAGACGGAAGTGGTCTGACCGACTTCGACGTCTTGGCAACCTCAGCTGCCGAACAAGCAATGCTGAATGCACTGATACCCTGATCTGCGCGCCAAGAATACAGCCATCCTCAGCTGGTAGAAAATGGGTTCGCTTCTCGGTTTAGGCCTTTTGATGGGATCAGAAGCCGAGGGTAGCTCAGTGAATCCCTGCTGCAAGAATCACCATACATTAGACGGGATGGGTGCTTCTTAAATACCAGAGTCCGCTCCCGGATCATCCGCGAACGACCACTCTCATGTATCATAAAACCCCAATAACCATTGAAGCGCATCATCTTCATCAACATCATCATGGCGGCAAACCCAATTCCAATATCACATCTAAACACCGAACCAGAGACAGTGCGGTGCCCAGCATGTCAACATGTAGGGAAATCCATTAGGGTGATGGATATGATCTCAGATGCAAGGTACAGTAGCCATGTTGCTTGGGCTGTCTCGCCGAATAGCGATTCTTGGTGCTGATCGTTCTCTTACCTTTCTCGATAGGGCCGCGGGAAACACTGCCATGGGCCTCATCGGATGTCTATTGTGTAATTGCAGCGTCATGATGGCGCCCACATATTATTCAATTACGCATTATTGTCCACGATGTGGCATCCGATATGTTGCTGTACCCTGGCACTCCGATCCCATTCCGCAACTAGACGCCAGCTTTCTCATCGATACCGAAAGCGGCACCAAGGCTGCGCCCTCGCCGGCCGGGCCACCTTCGGTCCCAGCGAATGAGGCGACTCTGCGCAACTTTACAGATCGCTTCTCCACAATCTCCCCATCAGCGATCTATGAGATGAAAATCGACGGCGAGATAAAATTTCCAACTGCGGTATTTGATGCGTCTGGGGAGCGAGTGGTCTTCCGAATTGAATGGCCAGGTTTCCAAAGGGGATTTTCACCCATTGAATACACACCCGCCGAGGGGATGTCAGCGGAAGGAAATACCAAAGTGAAGAAATCTTTGAGGGCGTGGGATCCTCAGAAGTCTACACCTCACATTCGCGTTCTCGCAGTCGGCGCATCAACAGGCACAGTACCTTTTGGCACGCCCGAGAGAGTGGTAGCCACTGCGCAGGTATTTAGCGACACTCGAGATTTCATCCTTCATACTCCCCAACAAGATCCTAGTGGAATCAGCCACTACGTATCGCGGCGGTCCGGGATCCCCGGGAAGCACTCGCCAAGCGCTGGCCACATGGTATGGAGCAGTAGTTTAGGCCCGCTTACCTGGACAGTACGAAAGGTGCGCGACAAAGACATGCCCAAGGCTCACCGGAGTATTGTGCTATTGGACGCATATGACCGGCTTGTGGCGGTCATCAGACCTTCGGAGAAGGAGAAGGGCAAGCCAGACTTTCAGCTGAGGTTGTACGGGAGCCTCCCAGAGCAGTTAGTCGGCGAGACCATAGCCAGCTTCTCTGCGCTGGCCTACGCGATTTGGAATTACGCACAGCTTGGTGTGCCTGATGTCGGCTTGAGCCTTGTGGCCACTGGCTTGGACGTTGTCAGCGGTGGCTTGGAGATCGCGTCTATCGCTGCTATCTAATGAATTTGGGCGCGGTATCTGAATGCCGCTCTTTGGTCGTCATCGCACGGGATCCGATGTTTATTATTACCGCCCTTATCTTCGAATCAGGTTCTCTTACCGGCGAGGACGACTTTCATTCCACAAGTGGGCTGGCGAACAACGCCCATACCGCAACTCGGCCGAAAACTTAAATTTCACTTATCTGTTTCCTAGGACAAGCTTGAGGTCGGGATATTCCATCTGACAGGTGTTATGTCCCGTGAGCTTACTCCTCGTCCTGGTGTGGCCGCCGACCTTTTGGTTATTTAGCAAGAGTTATGGTGAGAGAGGCGACCAGATAATGATATAGGTGGAGCAAGTCATCAGACAAGCAGAGCAGAGGTGGCGCATCCTGCCTTCATTCGACCGTCAAGAAAACGAATAAATATTGAACCTTGAATGTAAAGGTTATGGTGGATGCCAAAACGAGGAAGGGAATGAGACGAAAAGAATGGTAACGGTGCGGTGGGATTCCCGACTTTGTTGCTCTGACAATGTGGTTAATACTTGGAGATTATAGTATGATACAATCCAACTTGCAAACAACCTTTTATGTGGGGGTCGGGTGCGTACATCGGGTTTTTTTCAGTGGGAATGCCATCAATGTTACGCATTGCATATAATGATATAAGCGATTGTATTGGGAGTAAGGTATGCTTACAGTAAAGCACGCCCCATCACCCGTCCCATTGTCTTGGCTCGGGGCATGCACGTCTATCACAACCTTGCGCATGGGAATGGCGGGGCGGGGCTGACAGGAGATATGCAAAGATGGCTGACTCGATAAGATCGAGTAATGCCCACACCAAAATAATCTGGCGCTGCTCTGATGGCGCCGGGAGTGTCCGCCTTCCCCATCTGTCGCAAACTCTCCATCCAAAGAAGGTGGATACATCTCCTCCACCTTCTCCGCATGCCTTACAGACACGAGTCCGCCATCTTGATGGCCACAGAGCCTACTCCTTTGCGCTATCAGTGACCGAACTCTGGCAGGGGGCTCTGGGTAACTGAGCTCCTCATTGGCACATCTCTTATCATACCGAACCACGCAACCCCTCCCACCAGGTCCCTGGTTGCGACTTGACATAGATAAGGCCGCAGATAAGGAGAAAATCCAATCTACGATGGGACATAGTCGTATGGGTGAAAATGCTATGAAGGCGAAATTCAGAGTCTTCAAATAATTTGACTTGTATGTCAAAAAGCGGAAATGTTTTGGTGCCACAGGGGGAAAAAATAATGACACGAGTCACACGACCAGTCACTCTGTGTTAGTGGGACATCATCTCTTTGCAGCCCTGATAGCGAGTACTGCGCAGATGGGTTAGGGGAGAAACCTGCAGGTTAATCGAGAGGAACCGAGTAAGGAGCCGATCGTGTGGCTCGACAACGGCAAAAGGTTTCGATAACAGAAGTATGAGTAGGCAGTCGGACGTGGGGGTTGGAGCTGTCGTTTGATAATAGCAGTGGAATACAACTATGACAAGAGGCGGCATCCATGCCTTGATATAAACTATCATCAAGCCACCGGATACAAATCTCACCCACTCCTTGTGTATTTATCTCGAAAGGTTTGTTTCTATTTCTCGTCTCGGTCGATCCATTGCATGAATCACCATCTCAATCAACATTGGGAGGAAAAAGCACTACTCATTGGCGTCAATTGTGTTCTCGAGTCAGTGATTCCGATCAAAACAAGAACGGAATCCCCGAGACCCATCTTAGGTCGACATAGCTGTCTCAAACAAAATAAGCAATGTCATTCGGGTCAAAAATACAAAGATGGGCCGACAAGCTCCCGTGTGAAGCCGAGCCCGGGCTCACGACAGCCCAACTGATGGTAAATCCTCCACGCAATGGCAGCGCCGACAGCCACAGCGAGGGCTTCTGCGGCTTACACTGAGTCACAGCTCACGAACCACGATCTCAAACCCGTCGAGCCTGCACGCCGCCAATGGGGACCATGGAACTTTGTCGGTTTCTGGATCGCTGATTCCTTCAATATCAACACTTGGATGATTTCGTCTGCCATGATAGTCAATGGTCTATCATGGTGGCAATCATGGCTCTGCGTGTGGATCGGCTATGCTATTGCCGCTATTTTCATTTGCCTGACTGGGCGCATTGGTGCCGTTTATCATATCGGGTTTCCGGTTGTCAGTCGATCCTCATTCGGAATATGGGGTAGCCTCTGGCCAGTCTTTAACCGCGCAGCAATGGGTAAGTTGGAAGTGATTGATGGGGAAGAATTCTCAACACGGTTAAGCTTATCTGTTATCAGCTTGCGTTTGGTACGGCGTTCAGTCTTATATCGGAGGACACTGCGTCTATATCATGATTAGATCGATCTGGAAGAGCTGGGTACGTTGGAGTCTTATGAACCGATCTAGAAGTGCCCCTATTAACTCCTATTCCCAGGACCGTGAGAAGATCCCGAACACATTCTCTGAGAGCTCCGGGACGACGACGGCCGATTGGGTCTCCTTTTTCATCTTCTGGTTCTGTTCGCTTCCTGCCATTTGGTTTCCCGTCCACAAAGTCCGGCATCTTTTCACCGTCAAATCTTATTTTGTGCCGGTCGCCGGTATCGCCTTTCTCATATGGACTGTCGTTCGCGCTGGAGGAATAGGGCCTATCGTCCGACAGAAGCACACAATTCATGGGAGTGATCTCGCATGGGAGTTCGTGAAGGGAGTCATGTCATCGATCGCCAACTTTGCGACTCTGATTGTAAACGATCCAGATTTCACGCGATTCGCCGCCAAGCCTCGGGACGCCTTTTGGTCTCAACTGTTCGCGATTCCATGCGGCTTTGCCGTGACCTCATTTATCGGCATTGTTGTCTCCTCGGCGTCGACACTGATTTACCCTGCGGAGGGCGGACCGATCTGGGATCCGTTGACTTTACTCGAGAGATATATTGATGATGGTGGCTCTGGGCAACGATTCGGCGTTTTTGTCATTGCCACGGCGTTCTCACTTGCCCAACTTGGTACCAACATTGCCGCCAACTCAGTATCGGCTGGGACGGACATGACTGCCCTACTCCCGCGATATCTCAATATTCGGCGTGGCGGATATATCTGCGCGGCCATTGGCCTCGCTATGTGTCCCTACAACTTGCTTACATCGGCCAACCAGTTTACGCTCTATCTCTCCTCCTATAGCGTGTTTCTCAGCTCGATCGCGGGAGTCATGATTAGCGACTACTACTTTGTGCGCCAGGGATACCTCGATATTAAGGGGCTTTATGATGCTCGCAAAACCGGTCCGTACTACTTTACCTTTGGCATCCACTGGCGTGGGTATGCAGCCTACATAGCAGGTATCCTCATAAACGTCGTTGGTTTCGCTGGGGCTATTGGGAGGGACGTACCTGTCGGCGCGACCTATCTCTTTAATGTCAATTTCTTCGGTGGTTTCATCGTCTCATCTGGGGTTTACTGGGGTTTATGTCAAGCATTTCCCATCCCGGCTACTAGCGACAAGTGGTTGGAAGTCGGGGAGGCAATCGACGAGGTATACGTCGCCTACGACTATCGCAGTCGAGGGACGGACGAAGAGGGCGCCAAGGGGTTGTCGGAAATTTCGGAGCAATAGGTGGAATGTGTTTCTGTGACTGATGACTTTACGTTCGAGAACAATGTAGGACTCGCGATTTAGTTTCTTGCTTCAGGATTTCGCCTTGGTGCTTGTGCTTGCCTAACCAAGTCCGCCCCAGCACATAGAGGACTGTTCATGTGTGATCTGGAGTATAGTGCCAGATATGTACAGCGGACTTGGGCTCGGCAGTGTAATTAATTTGTGTCAATAACATTAGTTTCTCCATGTAGATCGGCGATTTTGATCGCTTCTAGTCGACACAACACGACTAAAGCCGAAGACCAAACCAGTTCAATATCATGACCTAGAGCTGGGTCGTTATATCCTCAATACTTTTGTGAACAAGCGGGACAACTTCTGTCTCCGCTGTTTCTATGACACAGAGGCGGACGGTTAGGGCCTCGGCTGGTTCTGTGAGAATTCCACAGGTTCTCTCCCGCCTGTCGTAAGGGTTAACGCGAAATATCCCTGGAGCAGGATATGATGAGATGCGAGCTTACGGGCAGGACATCGGACAGGAACCGGGCGAGGATTAACACCGATTTTGCACCTCGAACCGTTGCGTTTGACGATGGCACCACCGACATCGCATATCTCTGCCCTTGGCACGAGTGGGCTTCTTAAGGATGATGATCGTATTCCTCTTGGCAACAGAAATGACAGTAGTAAAAGTTCACCAATCCATTTCTTACTTCGTTTTTGTTAAAAGAAAAGAGTTCATTAAAAGAGTAGAACCTGATCAATCAGGAAGCCTAGTTATACACTGCGCCCAACCGGTTCTCCTCTCCTATCGACAACCATACGAATTTATTTCTTGTTCCTCTCACCGTACGCCCGAGTAGCGTAGTCACCTTGGTGGACAATCAAGTCCTGGGGCCTGTAATCGTGGCGACCAGAGAAGTAGCTGTCGAGGATGCTCTTGACACCGGCAGCGTAGCGCTGCTGAGCGTCGATCGAGGTACCGGAGACGTGGGGAACCATGGCATTGCCACCGCCGAAGGGGTTCTTGGCGTAGCGGAGGGGATGGTCCTTGGGCGCGGGCTGAGGGAACCACACGTCACCACCATAGCCGCGGAGGTGACCGCTCTTGAGCGCAGCGGCAACGTCCTCCTTAACAACGATAGCACCACGAGCGGTGTTGACGAGCCAGGAACCTAATATGGTTTGTTAATATCACAACATCCCATGTTATCCTATGTCATGTGAGGGGAAGAAGAAGATATAACTCACCAGGCTTCATCTTGGCAATGAGGTCCTTGTTGAACAGGCCCAGGGTGCTCTCATGGAGAGGGCAGTTAATGGTGACAACGTCACACTGAGAGACGAGCTCCTCGACCGACGCCACGCGACGGCAGCCAATCTCCTTCTCCGTCTCGGCAGAGAGACCCTGGTAATCATAGTAGAGGAGCTCCTTGCAGTCGAAGGGCTTGAGCCTGCGAAGGACACGCTCGCCGATGCGGCCAGCACCAACAGTACCGACAACCTTGCCCTCAAGATCGAATTCGTTCTTGGCGGCCTCGGCGACGTTCCAGTCGCCGCGCTCGATGATCTCGTGGGCGGGGACGAAGTTGCGGACGAGGACGAGGATAGTCATGATGACGTGCTCGGCGACGGAGACGACGTTAGAGCCGGTCACCTCGACGACGGTGATACCGCCGTTGGTCTTGTTGGCGAAGTTGAGGTCGACATGGTCGGAGCCGACGCCCGCGGTGATGGCAATCTTGAGGTTCTTGGCCTTGGCGAGGCGCTCGGCGGTCAAGTAACCGGGGTGGAAGCTGCAGAAGAGAAAAAAAAAAAAAAAAAAGGATTCGTTAGTCAATTATATATCAAGAGAAGTGCTGAATGAGGAATATGAGATACTTACGGAGTGGTGATGATGACTTCGGCGTCAACGAGCTCCCTATCAAAGGTAGAGTCCTCACCCTCCTTATCAGAGGTGGTCACAAGAGTGTGGCCCTGATCCTCGAGCCACTTGCGGAGACCAAGCTCATTTTCGGTGGTGCCAAGAAGCTCCGGAACCTGATAAGTGTGGAAGAAAGAGGGGTTAGTCCAGTTTCCAAAGATCATTCTAAGGCCGCGTCTTTCCGCCCAACACTCGTCGATCGTCGATTAAGCATCCGAACACCGAGAAGTGTCCGGCCATGGGAGCTGCCGCAGCTCAGCCAAGCACTAAGAACTGCCTAGCGTGCGACACTGCATCGCATTATAGGGCCACTACATGGTCAAGCTTGCTACCCCGCACTGGGGTTCTTTGATTGCGGACTACCCCACCCCGACCCCCAAGTCCAAGAATCAAGGTCGAACAGCTCCTCCCCCGGATTCTCCCCAGGATCTGATTGCAAGCCAATTGAAGCTACCAGGGTATCATTTATGGCATGCATGCTATGGGGTAGGCCCATGGGGTAATATGCTTGATCGAGTGTTGGGATGGACGACGACGACCACGCGAGAGGAAACGGGGATGGACTCACATCTTCGGCGTGCTGGCCACCGTCGTATAGAACGAGAAGAACCTTGCCCTATTTGAACACAGCCGTCAGTATTAGGAACTCTAGTATCGGTAGCATCTTCGCCCTTGAGGGACGGGATAGGAGCAGAGACAGGGGCAGTTGTTGTGTCACGCGCCACTCCTCTTGAGGAAGGATATGGTACCCAACAACAAAGCACACGTCCCCTGCCGTCTCTATATTGTTCCATATAGAAGACCAGAAATATCAACGCATATATGGAGGGCCGGGTAAACAATACCATTTTGGTTGATGTGTTGTGACGTGGGTGTTTAGTTGCTGAAGCTGGAAGCGAGCAGAATGGCGAAGTAGTGTCGAAGCTTATATGGGAGGTTTCTCTGCCAAACAGTAAAGGAAAACTGGGAGATGGAATGACGAACAAGACAACCCCCTCTCGACAGGGAGCGAACATATATTTATAGATGGCTTCATTGACCTTGATGATCAAAGCGACATGCCGATTATTGCGTATAGGCACTAGGTAATCAAGCCGTCCTCCCATCCCACCCCACCTCCCTTCCTACCTGTGGTATAGGCAAAATTTCTTCCCCCATCCAACAGTCGCGCGAGCATGCTCTCCTCTCCCTCTCCCTCTCCTTCATCCGTCGTGTCGCACATCCTTACATGGGATGTGCTTCGAGCCACATCAGCCCCTCATCGCTTCGTGCTCTTCCCCCCTCTGCATGGCTCGGTACTTACAAGGTGGAGCTTCTGACCGCTTTGAGTTAAGCGTGCGGATCAATGCGGGCATGAGGGGGTTCGGCATATTGATACCGAATTCGAGCTCGACTCCGAGTCGCCTGTAACAAGCTCTCCGGGCTCTACCTTTTCGGCCCTGTTTCTACCCCAGTGTATTCCTGGGCATGGTACTCCTACCTCCATGTTCCTCCCCCTTGCTCGGTTTAATGGGTGGTGACATGCGGATGGGCGGACGGGATGCAAGCAAACACACGATAAAATACGTCCCATATCAAATTACAACGATGCTCTAATACTCCTCCTTTGATACCTTTGGTGGCGGTCGCCGACCAACACAAAGCACAGAGTATAGGCTGCCCTGCAAATCAACGGACAACGACGGAGGATTTAAAAATAGATACTTTTGCCTAACATTACTCTGCGTACCTGGATACGACGCATTGAATTGGTAATAAGTAATTGATGGACAAGTGCTGAACTTTTTAAAGGCAACGGCACAATCGCAGAGTTCAGCCCTAACACGAAGACACTCGGCGGTACTCTAACGAAATCTCCCCCGGAACCCCATTAATCCCCACGGATCCTCAGACGCGGGATAGTAACAGCCAATGAATCTCGGAACTTTTGAAAGGAAAAGATTCCATGGGCTTCTCGATGTCTCAAGAGAAGGAATCCAGAGATAACAACAGCCCAATACAAATTATATGATATCACAGAGCCATATGTCGCCGAGTTGGTCCAACCAAAGACCGCATTAAGCACCCCCCAGCCACCCCCGCCGTTTAGTCTGGGATTGCAGCACTAGTAGGTTTAGAAGGGTTAGTGAAAAACGTAAAAATAAGCACAAATCCGAACCCCGAGAAAACGGGATCTTACATTGAGATGCCAGACATTCCGATCGATGTCGTAGGATCCCGGTCCATCCCCGAGCTCCGCAGCGTCGCCGCCGATGACTTTATTCCACTGCTGCGTTTCGAAGCACCAAAAGGCCCGAGAAAATAATCCTGCGGCGACTAGGTACAGGAAGCATGTCGACAAGACGAGGAAAGTCTGGATTTTTGCGCCCGATCCGCCCCTAAATCGAATGTTAATAATTTCGGCGGCGCCCGGCTCCCCCCAACCCCAATCCTGTTAACTCCCCTTGAGAGGTCAATAAGACAATAAGTAGAACTTACTTATAAACAGCATATCCAATGGCCGCTCCTAGCAAAAATCCCGCGAGCACGGCGAGGGGAATTGCGCTTACTGGAGCAGAAAAAGAAACACCGGCCACAAACACAATGCCTTCAATGCCTTCTCTCAAGATAGTTATGAAAGGCAAGAGGAACATGGAGTATTTTTCAAAGACGCGCTTGATTAAGGGTTGTCCAACGTTGGCACTGAGGGGGGCCTCGATCGCCGTCGCCAGCTTGGAGCGCCATTTCTCCTGCATGCGACCGACGCGCAGCAGAGCGACGCCCATGACGGTGATGACGACCGACGAAATGAGAGAAAAGATGCCTTCGTAATAATACTCTTGGTCTTGCCAGGCGTCTTTCCCGAACCCGTAGAAAATACCGATAATTCCCGCCGCAATCGTCATACAGATGGAAAACCCAACGGCTGTGCCTAACCATACCTAGATGGTGTGGTCGTTCGCGTCAGGTTGCGCAAAAAGTTATGTGCGTCTGGGCACGACCGACAAGTTATGGCAAGATGCAAGGAACTTGGGAGATGCATACCTGTCTCCGAAAGGCGTTATAGATCTTGCCATCCTGGCCCGGCCGGTCTAGAGTCTGCTTCAAAAACGCCAGCAAGACCGAGACGATGATGGCGGTCTCGAGGGTCTCTCGGAAGACGACGAGGAAAATCGGGACGGAAAACAAGCTTCCCGCCATGGTCGCTGAAGGTTACGAACTTACGAGACGAAGGGATTCTCTATCTAGCTCCTCGCCGAGATGAGATGTCGTTGCTCGAGTCGCGAAGAATTTCTTGAGAACTCCGCGGGGAGAAAAGACTGATCCAGGAGTCCCTGTCCCATTGGCTGAGCGCTGAAACACCAGACTGGATCTGCTGCTCACGTCCGACTAGTCCGATAGCGGTCGAGAAGCGAGAAAAATTTGGGGCAGACCACATCATCACGCGAGACCTTACATAATCGAAGAGGGAATTCCTCTCTGTCCGTCGCCCCTGCCCCTTGCCTTGCTTGGGCCTCCCGTGATAAAGTTTGCTGATTTTTTGCGTCTGATCAGATTGATAAGATTGCCGCACACGTGTCAGGGTCAGGACTGAAAGGGTCCGTCCAACTCGCCGCAGCAGAATGCCAAGTTCGGTTAGGTGATGGATTTGGTCCTGAACTGTTCCTTTTCTAACTTTGCCCCCCAAAAAACATCTCACCAAAAAAAGTGGGCTCTACCCCAGAGCTCCGACTCTCGCTCATCCAGCGACGGAGGAAGTTACGCGTTTCCAGGGTGTAGATCCACTCACCTGATTCCTTATTTTTTCCCCCCCCCAACTGTCCGACCCGATCTGCCTCTGCAAGTAACAGAAGCTGCGCCTACCCCACGAGCCTTGCAATCATGGCCTCCTTGCGAGGGGTGCTCGGGTTCTCCGTCTTTTGCACCGTCGTGCAGCAGGCCTGGGCCGCCGTTGTTGAACACAACTTCGATATTGGTTGGGTGCATGCAAACCCCGACAATGCCTGTGTCCGACCAACTATCGGTATCAACGGGCAGTGGCCCCTGCCGCGTATCGATGCGAACGTCGGCGATACGATTATCGTCAACGTCAACAACCACCTTGGCAACCAGTCTACCTCGCTACATTTCCACGGCATGTTTATGCAGGGCACACCTCACATGGACGGCCCAGAGCAAGTGACCCAGTGCCCGATACATCCAGGCGGCTCCTTCACGTACAAATTCAAGGCTGAGCAACATGGAACCTACTGGTATCACTCCCACACGCACAGTCAATACCCTGACGGACTCCGGGGCCCTCTCATCATCCATGACCCCGAAGCACCATTCAAAAGCAAGTACGACGAAGAGCTTGTTCTCACCCTATCTGATTGGTACCATGACCAAATGTCAGAGCTCATCCCTCAGTTTCTGGCAAAGAACAACCCCACCGGTGCTGAGCCCGTCCCGCAAGCTGCGCTTGTGAACGAAACCCAGAACCTGGCTGTAGCGATCCATCCCGGCAAAACATACCTGTTCAGAGTTATTAACCTTGGTGCTTTTGCCACCCAGTACCTATGGTTTGAGGGGCACTCAATGACCATCGTGGAGGTGGATGGCGTCTACACGAAACCTGTCAAAACCAACATGATTTCTCTTTCGGCCGGCCAACGATGCAGTTTCCTGCTCTCTACCAAGGACAAGGCCAGAGAGAATTTTGCCTTTGTAGGAAGCATGGACACTGTACGTTACGATAACACACCCCAAAACCTGAATCCTTACTTACTTGAGGTTAATTATTCAGTCACTTTTTGATGTTCTACCACCCGAGTTGAACTGGAATGTTACTGGCTGGCTAGTGTATAACGAAGACAGGGAACTCCCGCAGCCTGCCACCGTCGATGAGTTTGATCCCATTGATGACGTGACTTTGGTTCCTTACGACGAAGAACCGTTGTTGCCCGAACCGGACCGTGTCATTGAGCTCGACGTCATCATGGACAACCTCCGCGATGGGGCGAACTACGCCTTCTTCAACAATATCACCTATAAGGCACCTAAAGTGCCGAGTCTCTACACCGTCCTCAGTGCTGGCGACCTTGTAACGAACTCACGAATCTACGGTGAATATACTAACAGCTTTGTCCTGGACAAGGATGAGATCGTCCAAATTGTGGTCAACAATCTGGACGATGCCCGCCATCCCTTCCATCTTCACGGGCATCAATTCCAAGCTATCCATCGCTCTGCTGAAGATGGTGGGAAGTTTGATGAGTCTGCGATCTCGGAAGTGGGCTGGCCTAAGTCGCCTATAAGACGGGATACTCTAGTAGTGTGGCCGAATGGAAACATTGTCCTGCGATTCAAGGCCGACAATCCAGGTGAGTGCGGCCTCTACAAAACTACAACGTTGGGAATGTAAAATCTAACGAATGATCTCGCTGGCAGGTGTGTGGCTCTTCCACTGTCATATCGAATGGCACGTAGTCTCCGGTCTGGTCGCAACATTTGTTGAGGCTCCTAGGGACCTCCAGGACATGATCACCATTCCCAAAGACCACCTGAAGGCGTGTGCGGCTGGCAACATTCCTGTATCTGGGAACGCTGCTGGAAACACTCATAATTTGTTAGATTTGACAGGCCAAAATGCTCCTCCGCCTCGGCTCCCAGACGGGTATGTATACGGCAACGGAATCCCTAGGTGATTCACATTTGCTAACGCCATCTCAGGTTCACGGCTAGTGGCTTATTTGCCTTCATTTTCAGCTGCATCATGGGCATTGCTGGAGTCGGAGTTGTGGGTTGGTATGGCATAACAGCCCAAGAAGGGGAGCCAGAACCTCCTGAATCGCCCACCTTGGCTCCGCTGATCGGCAGGCATACAGATGGTGCTGAAGATGAGCCTCATCATCAATTTAATTCGAGACATGACAGTGAAAGAGATTCCGGGAGGTAAAACAAGCATTGTATTGAAATTGATCTTCTCCTTTTCTTTTTTTTTTCTGCATTCTCATGGACGACCAAGCTAGACAAGGAAAGCGAATAGAAAAACCAAGTTATACCCAAGCGCAATATTGAGATCTTCAGAATAGGAATCAAGCCCCAACCGGCATTTCGCTTCCTGCAATGTTGCACTGCCGGAACAATCTAACTTCGTCCTCGGCAAAGGCCCCAACGACAGAGTGAAGGACACCTCGGTTGTGGAAGATTACAAAGTCGCCCTCCTCCCAGTCGTGAGCGTAAACGAGATTGGGGGCGATTCCGGGCCTCTGCAGGCGGTAGACAAAATCACGAACCTTTTCGAGGTCGTCAATCACGGTCCCGTCCCCGAGATGCAATTTGCGCACCGCGGAGGGATGAACCTGCAAGGCCAGGCGACCGGTTGCGGGGTTCTTCCAGCAGAGCGGAAGGATCTGAATCGCGGCCGGGTCGATGAGAGGTAGCTCGGATTCGTCGAGTTCCTTGCCCTCAGACACCAGCCCAAGACCGGTGGGGCGGGATTTGGCCGAGGACATCCAGATGTACGGATGCGGCGCATATTCGACCTTGGTGGTGCGAGCAAGCTCCTTATCTTCCTCTGAAAGAATATCGTACATGGTTTCTCCGTTGACGAATGCTGTTGTGCCGAGGGGGACCTGCATCTCGTCTCCGGAACCGTCGTCGTACCTCAGCGTTTGCGTTCGTCCGGATGGGACCTTAACAGCCAGCAGCGTCGTCGCCACGGGAGGAGCAAGACCGTACAAAGCGGCGTCGATATGCCACCGGTAGAACCTGGTGTAATCCAGGTCGTCCTCATCGGGGATGGCTGTCTCGTGGAAAGTACGGTGGTGCGGATGGCGCAGCTGAATATTTTCCAGGCCTTCGTAGGAGGGAACGAAACCATTCCCGATGACCTGGACTTGGGGCTGGTGCGGGATGGTCTTCAAATCAGGGTGGAGAACAGAACGCTTGGCATCAAGGGTCTTGCCATGGCCGTACGAACCCTGGGCCTCTGGGTCGAAGCGCTGCGTAACTTCATACTGGGCCTTGGGAGAAACGTGGCTCTGGTTCCTCAAGACGAGCACTTGATGTGTGAACAAGGCATCACGGAGAATATCAAAATCCGCATCTGTTGGTGCTCAACGGTTAGTTACCGTAAGAAGCAGAAAACAGGCGGTCTGAGATGGGAGCCTTACCAGGAGGTTACCGATTTTACGGGTATTCTCCTTCGATTGAAGATAGTAATTTGGAAACATTCACACAAAGCAAGCATCAATCACTCGGATCTTACCACTCAGATTCTCGACATCGACATTGGTGACTGTCGCACCAAAGTTTACGTCCGAACTTTTCGGGACAACGAGGGGTTCAACCTTGATTTGGGAGCTCATTTCGACAAGAGAAAAGCGAAAAGGTTCTGGGCGAGTTTGAGAAAGTTTGCTGGGTGGTGCGTAAGTTCGTTGTCTACGGTCGATGATTTTTCTGCGAGGTGAAAAATGCGTCCGGCCTCAAAAACGCGAGTGGACATGCTTTTTATAGACGAAACCCCAGCAGGAGGCTGGGATCGGTAGTCGCCGGGTCCCCATTTCTTATCTTGGTCACTGAGAACGGGCAATGATAAGGGGACTCAGGCGAGACACTATTTCATTGATCCATCCTACCAAACCATTTTCTCGACGCCATGCCTGAGCTATCTGAGGTAATAATCAACAAATGATAGCCGCTAGTCTTATCGACGCACGATTTCCTCGCCGTCTGCCTTCACGCCTGCACGGCGGGGAGCGGCTCGGAAGACGCCGGTTGCCATTACGCCTTGTGCGATCTGAGCGGGATAAGATGCACACATCTTGGTGATTGGGGAAAATCGGGAGGCGACCCGAGTTGCGAGATCCCGTAGTCAAAATAGGCCTTTCCAATTGGGTCTCTGGAAACGGGGGATTGACCACGGCTACAAACCCCAGCTCTGCGCGGGCAAGAAATCTCTAAGAAAATATGGCTGGGGCGTTATCGAAACACCGAGCTATGCTCTGCCACCCAATCTGCCACCTCGCCACATGGAGCGCACCATATTTCCTCGTCATGGCTGATGCGAGCTAGGATTTTTTCCATGACGGCAAATTTCTCCTCGCTCGTTTGGAGGAACGGATGGAAAAGAATCGAAATGTAGTCGCCCGACTGAACCACCTCTCCGATCCTGGAAAGAAGGTACGATTCGAGATCGCTTGGCGCAAGAACCTCCTTTTGTTCCCCGTGAGACTCTCTGATGCCCGAAAACTTGCCCATGTAGTAGAAGGCATCGACGGTTTTCCATTCAAATGGCAGCACAACGATGCCGTTGTCGATACCCAGCTTTCCGAGAGGGGAGACGTATTTGACGTCGCGCTCGCGTAAAAGTTCATACGTCCTCTCATTGATTGAACCACCAGGTGGTCGGAACCCTTTATAGCGTATTCCGTATTTTTCAGACTCTGCGAAGCTCTTGCGGAAATTGAGGATCTCCTCTTCACGCGAGAGACTGTGCCAGACCTCGTGCTGATATCCATGCCAAGCGACTTCGTGCCCGCGGGCTGATAGCGATCGTACAGCATCGGGATAAACTCCAAGGCTCCATGATTCAGCGAAATATGTGGCTCTAATGCCGTACTTGTCCAACATGTCTAGCATCCGAGGGAGTTTCTCCTTGACAGAGTAATGAGACCCGACGGGGACATCGGCGGGCCAGACGCCTTTGTTGACATCCTGCGCCTCCCCGAGATTATCCATGGTGAAGCTTATCGCGGCTTTGGTCCCATTTGGCCACCGGGTTGACACCATTGTATGAAATGATCCGGGGACTGACTTGCCGATGAGCTTTGATGGGACAACAACACCTGTAGAAGTCTACTGTAGATTGCTTGACGTCGGGACGCAGACGACAATGTGTCTATGACGTCAACGCCTCTCCAGGATTTCTGATAATTTTTTTCGCCTGGAGTCTTCAAGTTGTCCTCCACTTGCGGAGTGACGGTAGCCGATCTTAAAAGTTCTGGAACGCCAGAAAGTGGAGGTGCTGGGACAGTGCGTGACATTCTCGGCATATTGCAAAAAGCTCGGCAGTTCCTGAAATGAAATCATAGAAGCTGGACATTTCTCTCCCGAACACTATCCGCAAAGCGAGCGCCTGCCTTGTGCTGGCTATGTACACCACGACCCGCTTGCTCTCTTTCTATCAGGAAACGTTGGTCCATCGCACACCTGGAGTGATATAGTTTCTGACGAACCCGGCAGTACTTTTTCACACCTCGTGGATAAACCCGACAAGTCTAGGGCTAGGCTTAACACAGCGATTTATTAATATGATCCTTCAACATCCTCTGCAGTCTCGGGCATGGCCGCACGGGACAAGCTGTGAGAGACGAGGATCCGATATAATGGTCCGCGGCTTTAAATGTCTCTTCTAGTATGGGAAAGGACTCGGAGTAACCACGCCAGAGTGTCACCTAGGCCGCTAATAGACTTCTCTCCGCCGATAGCTAAAAATGTAGACTGCTTATTCTTTTACAAACTGAAAAGCGCGAGCTCAGGCCAATACTTCGACAAGTCCAACATGGAACCTTCCGACCATGGTGTGCCATCCTCAGGAATTGCATCCAGAGCCTCGATAGGAAACAGCCAAAAACCTATAGCCGGCTTCACGGCCTGTTCCATATCGGGCCTGGAGTTGGGTTCGCGCGGATCCTCCTTCGAAGCCTCCCACCACATATCATCTTCCTTTTGTAGCCATGCATTGGCGCTTCCTCGATCGTTGATACGCTTGAACGCTGGGAACGGTTTGCTAGCTAGGAGTAATCGATAGGAAATCCGGGTTGGAGATATCTCAAATTTATGAAGAAGTTGTGTCCAAAAGTGAAAGATGTCTTGCCGTGGAAATGTCACCATGAGTATATCTTTGAGATCCTCGGAAATATCACGCGGATCCCGATGCAGACGATCAAAGTCGGCCGTTATTGCCATGATCGGATAAGAGCGATTGAACACGTTGCGGTCCAGGAAGAACCCGTGCAAGTAACGATGAACTTGGCGTCCGACCGATGTCACAGTGACGAAGAAAACTTCGCGTAGTTGCGAAATGACATTCGCGAAGCCACTTTTAACCTCGGGTCTAATCTGGGCGGCGAGATTCGGAACATCGAGTGAGTAGAACAGCATGGTCAGCTCACTGGAGTCAATGGCCAGATTCAGCAGACCAACATTACGGGGGTCGTAGACTGTCTTGAGGTCGTAGAGGAAGCTGGCCGTATGGAGGTGGGAAGAATCCGACGTGATATAAAGAAAATCGTACTCGGGGTTGACGTAGAGACGCTCTTCTCGTGTGCTTGGCGCGTCCCATTGTATCCTTTCCTTCGTAAACGTGCAGGGGATGTGGACTCGATAGAATCTCAAGGCGAGTTGTCTTGATTCCATGTTAACTCGTAGCAATCTGTTATTCAACCTGTGCGCGTTGTCCGCAGAAACACGATAACCGCTATCTGCCCCGATTACAATGCGTCGTTTGTCCCAAAGACAGAGTTTGACCAGGCGCGGGCGCTCGAGCAACTGCCTCCAAATGAGGCAGCGAATCTCGGGAGGCAGTTGGGGAAAGATGTGGAAGCTCGCTCCGTCATCTCGATGAATTGGGCCGGTGTAAATTTGCAGATGGGCCTGAGACGACGACATCTTGCTGTTGAATCTTCGGAGATCGGTCTTGGAATTTTTCCCACTCGACGCAGGCAGCAATGAAACGACAAGATGTTGATGTGCTTAAAGCAATATCCCACTTAATACTAAACCACTCATTGGAATGCATTCATCGGGGCAGCACATAGCAGCGCATTATCGAGGCATTTATGCTTACTCGAATCCTTCAGCTGGATATCGCCTCTTAACTAACTGCACTTCCCACTTCTGCCAATCATCATCACATCTATAAGAAACAAATTCCTCTGATTCTGAGATAAGACATCTCCCACTCTTATGAAGAGCGCTGCGTTCTCTCGCTTCGCGGGCCATCCGTCCAGCACATGTTTAACAGAGATGGATTACTTGCCCGCCTTTTGCAAACAAATGTCTGGCAGGGAGAACCCCAGATCGCAAGAACGGTGCTTCCATCATTGATTTACGTGCAACAGGGTGCCGTCACGGACGAGGTGTCCGTAGAAGCCGTCAAGTCTAACACCAGACGCCATATCAGCTCAGATCCCCAAGGGTGCGTCATTACGGCCTAGGCATCGAGTACTAGATTGGACCCCGAAATATTCTCATGAAAACCTTTCTCTAGAGCGCGACACGTCAAACCCTAGCTTTGAAACTGAAGACTCCCTCATATTAGACACCAAGGGCTCACAATTGATTGTTGTTGTTACTGTGCAAGGGTGTGGACCGTTGGTGCCTACTCTGGGCGAGCCTTCATTCTCAAAGTAATGGGAGCTAGATCACTCACGAGGGGCAGTAGCTCCTGGGAACATACGTTGCTGCTACTTACGGCAAAGCCGCTCGCTACTACGCCATGTCTCCCCCGATCCAAAGGATATGGAACCACTTACCGGCGAGGATTGCGGCATGCCGATAACTAAGGGCAGTGTGATCACTGGGTTTTAAACATCTTCTACGTTTATATCGGAAGCTGCTGAGAATTGAGTGACAGTTACTACTTGCCTGGTGGCATCCTTGAGGGCTTCATCCCCAAGCATCCGACCTGGAGGCTGACATTCTAGGTTGTGTGATCTTATTAGCTCCTGGCTACCCGCTATGTTCTCTCGAAGGGTTCGGGGTCTCAATGGATGCTTTCCAACCCAGGGCTTTATCCATGAGGGGAAGCCGGGGGCCTGAACGGAGGAATCATTATTTCTCAACGTTCACTTTGTGTATACCCACGTGGCCATAGATGTCATGTTCGTATCCGAGTTCGCCCTAAACCTCGGATTTTTTTCACGAGGCGCCATTTGACTGCTACCCTGGGATAAATCGTCTATAATAACTCCTACGAGCTGTAAGGTATCTTTACCACGGTGCTAATGCTTAGGATGTTGGAGAAATTGAGGGGAACATGCGGGTTACCCTCGTGGCGACTGAAGTGATCGATTATTACATGACCAGGCGCCCCAATTACGACCTCGCCCACAACAACCGGAACGGTAATATCCTCCAATGAACGGCGAAAGAGAGCCAACTTCATATTTTCTACCAGCTATATCCGCTTTAAACCTCGGTTCGCATCATCTCGATGTGCATTTCAAGAGTCTATCCAGCTCCATGGAATGAAAACGGGTTTCATGTGATCGGAGCGTCGCGCACCGTGGAGGCTAATTAACGGCGGGATCGTAGCGGCTCTTATCATGGACTGAGGTATTCGTTCCTAAACCAGTCTCATGCG